TGGATAGTTGAATTTGACGTCTTCGAACGTAATCTCGCCAGTGACCTTTGCGGGCTTTAGTCCTCCTGGATTTGCAGAGTCGATATTGGGGACACGTTCGATCGTAGCGAAAATTTTGGCAGCAGCACCACAGCCGCGTGTAATAGCTTGAGTAATGCATGATGAGAATTCCGAAGCAAAAGCGAGACCACGATTACCTTGTAATTCAGGCGCAAGTAGGGCGAGAGATAATGATCCGGTCAAAATGGCGAAGAAGACATTTACAACCTGTCCGGCGTTAGCTGCAAACCAAAGTTAAATGCAGTTTCACGAAACAGAAACGGGAACAGACCCTCGCCCTCGTTTATAAGGGTAGTTCCGAAATCGAACGCCAGCGCATACCCAGCGTAGATTACAAAGAAGAGGCAGCCTAGCCCTACACCTTGCCAAATACTCGCTTTGGCGTCGACGGCGCGAGTTACGTCGACATTCTTATCGTATATTCCAGACATAGTTTTCTGCGTCCCGAAAGCCTGCGCGGTGCGAATCGTCGATATGACTTCTTCCGCAAGACTACCTGCCTCGGCAACATGCTTCAAGGACAATCTAGTATTAAACAGAGATCAGATCTTCAGGACAAGCTCAACAGCAGGTACACTCACTGCGTGTATTTGGAAAGAAACTTTTTCATGATGCCGCCTATGAGTAGGATGCACACAATCATGGATGACAGTGCAAGAGCAAGACGCCATGACCGGGCATATGCAAGAATAAAGCCAACGGTGAAACAGCTGATGCAGGTTATTGAAATAGTGACTTTTTCGGATATCCCCATTTGTACCAAGTCTATTTCAGAGCAAGGTGACTTCGACCTTTGAAAAGTCTGGTATGACTTACGAGTATCGGTTTGGATGCGCGTCGCAACCTCTCCAGCTCCCACATCATCAAAATAGGCGATTTCCTGTCTAAGGATGGCCTGAAGATACTTCTCTCGTATTCTTTTCCCATTAGCTTCTGAAGTATAAACCCAGATGCACATGTATATGTACGTGGAAACAAGCATTGCGATACCTGATACGACTTCAGGTGGGTACTGTCTGTTTCTGATCGAATCAAGACTTACCAAGATAAGCAAGGTAAGAAGCATCCAGGCTAGCGCTGTGAACGAACGCGGATGCGGCAACATCCAGTGCGGCCCGTGCTTGCGCAATCATGTTGGTGTCATTAGACTGCAGCGCTTGATAGTACTCGTTCTCTGCTGAACCAAAAGTAACGAAATCTTGGGTCATATTGCCGAATATCAAAGTCATCAGGGGCTAGGATAGGAAGTAAGAAGATGTAGCTCGCGAATTCGAAAACTCACCTGCGACGCGCCAGCGGCAACAGCGAAGATGATACCAAAGCAGTTCAACATTATTTCAAAGCGAGTGGAATACCTGTGTCGCTCAATCATCACGTTCAGTCAAAAAGTGGAATGATCTAACCGAAATAGCGATGAAAATGACGCAGGGGCGAGCGTGTCCGCTGCATTTGCGTTCTCGGCTTCGATCTCTGTTTCCTTGGATACTTTCTTCGGCCAGCGGAGAAAGGCTCGGATGCCCTTTGAACTCTCTTTCATGTCCAGAGTAACGTGCTCTGAGGGTGTGAGCTCCTTTGAAAAGGTAGGTTTCTTTTCGTCAGCAGTGGTTGGACGGCCCTCCGACGTATGTGACGCAAGTAGAGTGGGTTCTGTACCCATGTTGGAGTGCTGTACTTGGTGTGGACTGGCATCTGCAGAAAATCTATGGGTTTATTTTATGTAGGTCACTGCGGTTCCGAGGCACCCGGCGGCTTCAACGAGTCAAATTCGGCGTACTAACACTGTTACGATGACTTGCGCGAGAAGCGAGGAACGCGCGGCAAAATTAATTGATGAACCATGTGCTTACCTCACGTAGCTTCAGTCAAGCCAGCAGCTAGATGCCGTTTCTTCCTCGTACCCGAGCCACCATGCGTGCACCATGTAATATGCAACGTGACGCTCATTGTATTCCTTATCACATCGTACATGCATGTCAGAACGATGCGGCTAAAGCATCAAGTCATGTTGGAACGATCGATTGTACCGTTATAGTCGCTTCATGTCTTTCGATGCCAAGCCGAGCTCGAGGTGAAGGTAACTAAATCATTTGCCGGATTCCAGTGACATGCTTATGTCATTCCGTTAAACCGATTCCGTTGTGAGTCACTGCTACTACTAAGTAGTCACTGGCTATGTAGTAGTGACTCGCGATCGGACCCGGTACCATCTTGCTTCAAGAATTTCATCTCTCTCAAGCCGTGAGGCCAAGCCGAGGCACACGAAAGTGAAGGCAACTCACAGTAACATGCTTATGTCACTCCGTTGGAGCCGACTGCGTTGTGAGTCACTACTCGTAGTGATTCAGACTCACAACGTTAGACTCACTGGTACCGTACTGGTATAATATCACAATGATAACTGGTCAGCACCACTGCTCACTCCCCGATGCGACTTAGGCTCTGAGGCCAATAAGTTGGGCAAGTTTGATAGGCCTGTCTGTAGATCTGAGCGTTTACACAATAGGAGTACCTCCAAAGCATTTTCCCGATTCAACAACACATTTTCGAATCCCGTTCAGCTGGAGGTTAAGTATTTCTAACTCCTTTGGGCCAACAGTATAAAGTACTTTTGTCTGTCCGTGAACTACTCACAGCGCATACAGGCTCGCGATGTCATACATAAAAGGACCTCAGCAAGATTCAATAGGCTAACAATGACCCATAATGGCCGATGGGACCTGAATGTGAGTGAGTAAGCCACGTTGACACGTGGAATTGCACAAGCACCATGTCAAAAATATTGGCTTCAAGCTGAAACATTAGGCCCATATGTGTGCCGATCTGGTGCAACGGCCCATGGTGACGAGCCTTGTTATTCCTGCTCACAAGAGGTGCGTCCCATCGGTTGCAGATATTGAGTTGGAAGAAACAGAGCGGTAGGCCTATGTAGTTTCGTTTCCTGAGCGAATCTCGATTTCATGCCCTGGACATAGGATGCCAGTGAGGATAGAACCGCCTGCAACGCCACCTTTAAATTTGAGGTCATCGACCTCAGCACTAGGCTTGCTGACATCGAAAGAACGGACGACGACAAGACGGGGACCGGGGGGATTGGGTTATTGCAATTCGTTTCCGAAGCCATACCACCAGATTCATGAGTGGTGGATTTGTGCCGAGGTTAATGGAGCAAGATAGAACATATGGCTGGGAACAGTGATTGGGAGTTCAGGGTGATTTTTCGTCTATTGAGAAATACGATAATCCATGTCTTACGCACCAGATGGGGATGAGTATCGGCGGGACGACGAGCACCTTCAAGGAGAAATTGAGTGGGGAGAGACAATTTTACACTGTGTTCCATTTAACGAGGATAGCGGAGCGAAGCTGTGTCAAGAAATTCACTGTTGGGCCTCGCAAGGATAATGTGAGAATCAGACGAATTTCCGCTTAATGTAGATACCACTCCATAGGTCGGTGCTGTGCATCGTTACGATGGATCACAGTGTATGGGTTGGTGTCGGCCGGGGCACCAACAGAAGAGGGGCGGAAATAATGGTGGTTGGTATTAGTGATTAGAAAGTTCTGGATAGTTTCCCGTGTAATGAGAGACGTGGTAAAATGTACGCCTTGCGCACGAGATGTGTGTCGAGTATTGACGACTCGGAGATGAGCACGTTGAAGTTGGCTGGGAAAATGCGGATGTACGATCCGGAGCGCAACCCAGCATACGATACATTGGCCAAGCAATACGAACGGGGATCAAATTTGTGAATGATAGAATGCGACTCGCGATCACAAATGAGGCTTGGGCGCTTCCGCTGCATAGCACATGCTGTCAGCTGTGAAGGGCGATGCGTGGAAAACGTATCAGCTCAGACTTGCAGTGCACTCTTGACCTATACGCCCATTAATGGTGTCTTGGTGTGAAGACGTCAGGACCTGTCAAGAAACACATTGTGGTAAGTGATGATTTTGGATTTTGTTGGACGAAAGCTAATAAGGAACTGCGCCCTATAGTTGATTATGTCTTCACCCGTCGTTGGGATGCAAGAGACATCAACGATAACGCCCAGCCAGAAATTCGAAGGACACGCCCATTGGATCACTGGGGCCATACATCTGCCAGACGGACAGCGGATGATGACTTGTTCATTCGACGGCTCGCTGCGGGTATGGAACTTGACGAGTGGGAAACAGATTGGAGACGATTGGCGAAACGGAGATAGTGGAGTGTGGACGTCGACAGCGTTGTCTCTGGGCGGGAAGAAAATGGTTAGCGGAAGTCAGGATGGTGGAGTGAGGTTGTGGGACATTGGCACAGGTAAAGTCATCGCGAAATGGACGGGAGACACAGAAACAGTGGGGTCTGTCTGTTGGAGTCGAGATGGCTGGCGAGTGATTGATGGTGCCGTAAGGGAGTGGGACGTGGAGAAGGGAGAGACAGTCCTCGGTTCAATCGAGACTGGGCACCAACACATGTTCACAGTCGTCTACTCACCAGACATGACCATGTTCGCAACTGGTGGAGGCAACTGGCAATCGATAATGATTCGTTATCTCGAGATCCCAGTCAAAATCTGGGACGCGAACACAGGCGAGCTCGTCGCCACTCTCAAAGGACACAAGTTCGGTGTTGTGCCTCGCCTGGACCCCAGATGGAACGCTTATCTCCGGGTCAAACGATTTCTCGATTAGGAAATGGAATACTTCATACTGGAAGGACTCAGAGATCGCTGTGCTCAACGGACACGCTGGTTAGGGTTCCGGGAATTAGGGTAGGGCGTCTGGTTGACAGGCAAATTAGCATGGCCCTTGCAGAGGGCCAAATTTACAGGTGTGAATGACATGTCATTCGCGCAAATTTACTGACGGGGGTTTGGGGGCAGAGCCCCCGAAAGCTCTAGCTTCTTGACGCTAATTTGCATTAATTTGCAGGTGAATTTCACCTAATTGACTGTAATCTACTCTGCAGACTCCCATATCTCCCACTCGTCATCCATTAGTGCCACCGACGAAGTCATAGCATCAGCCACCAGCTTGGATGAAGCTCCGTGACTCATGGGAGCGGTTGGCTCAAGCTGCACAGGCTGGTCTGAGAGGACATCGAGAAGGAATCCCGATGATAAGTTGATGTGATCACCAACATCGAACCTGTCACTTTCTTCTCCATCAAGGCTCACATTGTCACCATCATCAGGCCACTTTCCCTTGCTGGTCTCATCATCTGAGTCATTCATTGTGATATCTCTTTTCATAGGTGGTCGGGCTGGTGGTGGAATGACCATTGGCTTCTCAGGTTGTTGATCACCAAGGATGGTTGCATGCATATCACACCATTTGACTGAAGGAGCTGTTTTTGACGCTGCTGACTGATTAGATGTATGTGAGTGTTTCAATGGTCTGAACGAGCAAAGGCAACTTACATCAGGTTTCCAGTGGTGCCACTGGTGAATTTGAATGGTTTCTTTTAATGTTGTGATGTCTTGTCTGCTCTGAGTTGGGCTATTGAGCCACATTATAGTTGACACAGTCCTCTTGTCAGCCATTGGCACTGGTACCACGGAATATAACTTGATCATGAGAGCCTGACACAAGAACAAGAGTTTAGTGAAATGAACTAATTAAGTAAATGACTTTATCACCCCAAGAACCTGCACATTTTCATCCTTCTGGACAGCTAGCCACCAATCCTGAACATTCTTGTTTTTACAAGGCTTGCGGTTGAAAGGATCTGCACCTTTGCAATACTCTTTGAGCTTGACCTTCAATGACTGCAGAGCCTCTCATGGCATCAATCCAGCCAAGCGTGGATTTCTCTCCTTCATGAGATTTGCAGCAACTTGGTTCGACTGTACCCCATCATAAACATCACCATACTCGTGCTTTAACATGCATTGGAGACTCATGCCAACTCTCTTGATAATCGCATCTTTGGGGGACACAACAGCATATGTTCCATTAGATTTGCTTAATTGAATAGGTGGCAAGTTGAGAGGATTGATGTTTTTGTAGATCTGTGCTGCTCTATATTCTTTGGAGATCCAACAAATCAGTAAGTTCCAGTGCCCATACTATGCATCATCACTCACCTGGGTTTGAGAAGAATGCTGTGATATATGGATCATTTGGTGCATCATTGATCATCTGTTTGAACTGTGCATTAGTAATTGCATGAATGGCAGTTTTGGTCTCTTTGCATAGTCGAATTGTATTGCCCTGAATCAGTTGTTCCATCTGTGTGACAATGGCAAGCCAGTATAGATAGACATCTGCACAGGTTGTTTGGGCCAATTCCAGACATTGAATTGCTTTAGTGTAAGGCCCTGTGACTGCTATGAGTTTCGCAAGGTCAACTTGGAACATCAGAGAATCAGTTGTGTTCTCCTTGAAGAAATGATTTAGGCCCTGTACAGAAAGACATTACTTGTCAATCTTCACCAACAACAGACATATCTACCTTGATATCAATTCCCAAGTTTGAATCACTGATTATGGCTTGCATTGCTGGTAAACCACATTGCAGTGAAGCCGCCGACCAATGGATATTTGCAAATTGAGTTTTGCTGATCTTCTCAAGACCATGACCAATCTTAAGCATGTTGTGCTGGTAATTGAAGTGCTCCATGGCATAGCCTGACTTATCCATGAATGATAGAACCTTTCTCAGATGATCAGAAATCTGTGAGTACAATAACATCATTGAAGAGTTGAATCTCGAGCCATATGATATCATCTCTTTGAGCTCTGGCAGCTGGCATATTTGCTTGCTGCATAGCGATAGCAAATGACATGCATCCTGGAGGTTTAGTATATAGGGCCGTTTTGCCAACAAATCTCTGTGGCTATTTTTCGTGTTTCCCATGTCATCTGATGATGAGCCAGAGAACTGAAAGGGTCTAATATCAAGAATAACCTATTGTTGTTGGGTGAGCTTTGAGTTCATTAAGCAGTTTAGTACTCACACTTTCCAACAACTCCCAAATATAATGAGCTGTATGACTGAGCATCAATGCATCATCAAGCTTGAATAGAAATGTTTGCCGTTCAGTGGTGGTGACATGGACAGTGTAGAATGATTTGGGCTTCTGGACCTTCCCACCATCAAATGTAATGGTGAGATCACATTGTATTTTCAAATAGTTGACCATTGTGATGGTAATTCTTGCACATTCATTTGGGATCAGTTGCTCAGAAACAGTCAATGCACAGGGAGTCTTGTAGTTCGCATTCAAGGTAGTTGTTAAGGTCACGTGCTCAAGGGGGTTGGATCACAAGGGCTTGGCCTCAGCTCATATGCTGTGCCCCTTTCCCAAGTATGTGCCCTTAATTTCTGGGGGCTAGAACAGTTGTCCGGAGTTTCTGGGATTTGACTAGGGTGGACAACAGACATCCAGATCTGAAACATGAGATAAGTCTGATGGATGTCCAGATGTTACTTGGACAAGCAGATAAGACTAATCCAGACGAAGTCCAGACTAGAAACTAACAGAGGATAGACTACCTTAAGGTAGAGTCAGAAATGTAGTCTAGGATGCAATCCTAAGACTTGGAATATGACAAGAGACTTATCTCGAGTCTGGAGGACACAGGAATGAGCAGGAACTAAGATGATATTCGAACTGGAGTATTTCCAAGAGTTACAGGAGGTTTATATACTGTAGGTATCATATAGGAATCAGTCAGCAAACATAAAGGCTATGTATGAAGCATATGCAAAGTCTATTAGTAAGTAGGATGGATCACAAATAATGAACACCAGAAATGAAATGTATGTAACAGATCAATAATCAAAAGGGAAACATGGTTAACTGGAGTCCAGAGACAGGGGAAGTCTAAATGGGGTTGGGTGCTGATATAGGGTTTGGATTCTGGAAGGGAGATAAAGATAGATCAGATCATTTGAGATCTGGATATCCAGAGAAGTGGATTTAGAGTTGAGAGTATGGAATGGCATATGACAGTAGTGCAGAGTGCCCTAAACTCCTTGGAATCAATGATGTCTGGTGGAACTCCAGTGCACGTAATGAATAGCATCAGTGCATGATCCCTGTTTATCTTCAACTGCTTGGTTCCTTCTGTAACATATGCCTTGTTGAATGGCACAACTAGTTTTGAACTCAATGCAGCCTGCAACTCCATTCTTGCTTTCTTCATCGGCCATTCTGTTACCTCTGATGCAAGAACATGTTCGTTAGAACTCAAGTCCAATGCTGCTTCTGTGACCTTTGCTTGCCCTCCTGTTGCCTGGGACACCATATACTCTCTTGCTTCTTTCCGCCACTCTTTTGCCATGCTTGGACACTCATGGGCAGCATGCTTCATTATATGTTGTCAAGCTCTTGGCCATGCCCATGTCACATTACACCCATAGCTAGCAATGCACTGCACAAGTTTGGTAGCAGTAGGATCACTTGCCAGACAACAAGGCTTTGAAATCTTGCAAAGTAGTGGGTGCATCTTAGCACCACCTTTCTGAGCATCCTCGTCTTCATCAGCAGTAAGATACTGGTCATTGTTAAAGGTTGACAGGATATGTGTATCGAGTTTCTGAACCTTCTTTCTTTTCTCAGGTTGATGATTATTGACATTGACTGGCTTGTGCTTCATAGATTCCACTTCCACATCAGGGACTGGCAACTATATACTAGTATGTCAATATTTTATTAGAAATAAGATAAAACTGACTCACAGTGTTGCCGGCTGCAAGAATGAGACCTCATGCAGCTTTGAGAGTATCATCCACCCACTTCTCTAAGAGAATATCACCTGGATATTTTTTGATCCAAGTTTCGAGAACATCCACAACAGCTTCTGTCTCTGGCCCTCGCTCCATGATTTTCAGGCCACCAGCATGGCTGCCAAATCTGACCTCTAGCTCTCAGTTGATGGCTGCAGCCTCTCCAATTTCTGCAGTCCAATTGGCATCCAGGCTGAAATTGGAAAAATTATACTTTGATTCATCTGGTATGGGAATGTTGGATGGTAGTGCCTTGAGATACTGTTGCAGTTCAGCCAGTCGATCCCTGAGCAGGCCATACTGTGATAATGATACATCAATTAATTACAAGTTATGGGAAATGTGTGATACATATTCTACCACAATCTATAAGCACCTATAATCTGTAGGGCTGATATATCAGTGGAGGATCCTACCTGGAAGCCTGCTGTTGGCTGGATTGGTTCCCTGGACCTGGTTCCTTGCTTCCTATCACCCATCAATCCTTCTTTCTGATTCAGTTCCTGGGGATTTTGAGTGGGGCTGTAAAATAAGCTTACTAATCTGATCAACATTATCCAAAACAATGGCTCACCTAGACTCGACCTAGACCATTTGCAATTTAGAAGTATTGAAGATTGGTCACATGATGCAAGCCACATCTGATTGGTCAAAATTTGAGACTTGGTAAAATTTTGCCTGTTGACTTCAAGTGACGTTGTTACTTTTCCTGCACATGGTGTGAAAGTTTGTTCAATTAGGAAATTTTGGACTTGGTGAAATTTTGCTTGTCGTACACTCGGAGTCTTGAGATCTCATCCCTTGTAATTGATGATGGTGGTGATTGATTTGCACACCTTAGTACTTTGAATTTTTCCCCTTTGAGCAGGCATAATAGCAAGATGAAGGATCACGATTCACATACTATCAACTATATACATGTAACAATAATGTACGACCAAAATGAACCCAACTAGACTACTACTTACTGACATGTGTGGACTTGCCTTTGTGTGAAGCCTGGATTTGACCAATATTGTTGGCTGCTGCAGCACAATTTGACTGGAACTGCTGGCATTTCCCATGACCTCCCTCCAACTCTGGGCTATTTTCAATGAGTGGCAGTCTGCCATCTCCCTCAGTTACAGCATCCTTTGTCTTTTGATGTTTGGATGGCCTATGTGGTTGTTTGAGTGGATGGCCTGGGAAGTGGCACAGTCTGTTCAGGAAGGGGGGGGACAACAGCAATTGATGCTGGGGAATGAGTGGGAAGTGGCACAATCTGCTCAGGAACTGAAACTGACAGGGAAGGAACCAAAGGAAGGGCAGGAAATGGTGCAGTTTGGATGGAAGCCGATGCTGGAAGAAGAGTGGCCCCCATTGAGACATCCTCATGGTCAGTGGTCATCCCACCCAAATTCTTGAATTGATAGCCAATATGAGGAGGTGATGAGAAACCATGATGCAGAGCAAGGTTTTGCTCGAGGTGTGGTTCCATAGTTGCACCTTGAAGGAGCTGGAGTAAGGATGGTGAAGCAGACATTGTATTGGGAGATTGAGGCGGCATGGAAAGTAAGGGTCGCATTAGCTCCATGTCCTCATCCGTGTCAACTGGGTTGGGGGTAAAATCGGAGAAGAAGTTGATGTCATACTGATTGGGAGCCTTGGGCACTGCAGCTGAATGATTATCATCAGGGTTGAACATAAATTCAGGGTTAAATAAAGGTATCTGGCTGGCTGTGTTGAGTGCAGGTAATGGTGTGGGCCCCAAAAAGACATTAGTGCCTGAGCTGGCTGTGTTAAGTGCAGGTAATGGTGTGGGCGCAGAAAAGATGTTAGTGTGTGATGGGGTCATAGCTGCAGTTGAAGAAGATGGAGTGGATGGTCTTGGTAACCCTGAAGAAGATGGGGTGGATGGTAGTGAACCTTGTGCCCTGGTCAACACTGTTGCTTCAGCTGGTAAATTCAAAAATCAGAATTCAATACCACCAGAACCACTGAACTGAAACTCATGAAAAACACGCTCTACAAATTGAGTATAAGGGACCATAACACCCTTTGTAAAGTCAGGATATGTTTGGCTGAACTGATTACCAATTTTCATTGTACTGACATGGAAGCTGCTAATGTCCAAAGCACCTCCTATGGCAGGGTCCAGACCACCCATCAGAACAGTGAATACCCAATCCGTCATCTCATGTAGCTCTTCAAAGAATTGAGAGAGAATTAAAGTGATTTTGGATACATAGCTGCATGATGCATTAATAAATTGATATGCACAAGAAGACTGTACAACTCACATGTCCTTGCTCAGTGTCACTCTGTTCCTTTACCTCCTCTATTTCGGCACACTTCCTCTCTTTCATTGCCTCCACAGCTGCAAAAACTGCTGCTCTAACATCCTCTGATTCTTCCTTGAAGGGTTTCTTAGTGCATTGCGTGATGAGATGGATAGAAGATTTCCCAACTGGCTGAGAAGACTGTTCTGCCATGACTCTGTCCTTGACCTTAGCCGTGTAGTGAGTTTTTGAATACATCTCCCATGGCTTTAATACACAGGTGGTCTTTTTGCCAGATCCTTTCTTCAAAATGCGACCTAGCATCTTGTTGATAGCTCCAGTGTTGGCAGAGTTCACAACTCAACCAGCCTTTGAACCACCGTGGTCATTATGAAACTTTTCCAACAAGCACTTTATGGCATGTAAGTCTTGGATCATCTAATGGAAGTAATGAGTGTTAATGAACGCACAAGTTTTCATAAACTCCATGCTTCCGCTTCAATTATTGATTGTTCTGGGGTCAAAGGCTGATCAAGAGGTATGTCCTTGAATACTTCAAGTCATTCTGGGAACCTCTTAGACCATTCCTTGTAGAATGGAGCCCAAAATAGCTCATAGTTTCAGTCTGCTTTACACCGGAGAAATTGCTCCTGGTATGTTTGCATGAATGTGAGCTGCTCAGCAGAATATTTGCTGCATGGGGCCATCTTAATTATGTGAGTGGGGTTATGTCTGACAGTCCTGTCTGTGTGACAATGCAGTGAAAATTTCACCCTCAGTCACTATGTAAGTACTTCTGTCTTGCTTCAAGATCTGCATGCAATGTTAATTTTGGATATTGGGTGACCAAAACAGATATATTCCGTGCACGGAATGTGAGCAAAGACAAGCAATGTGCAAAGATCAACCATGCCCTCACTAGATGTATGTCCAAGAGTGAAAGGTAAGTTTCAAGGTGACACATCTACTCTGTGCAGGTGACTATGAGACCAAGAAGATGTGCAATGTCTGGGAGGAGTGGTTCTGCTTCAAGTTGGAATTTGGAGGCACTTCATGGGGATATGTCTGACAGTCCCAGATACTAGTACATCATGTAGCCCTACGCAAGTTATTAGCATATAGGATTTGTACAATGAAACTGTCCAGAAGTCTAAAGTGTGCTGTGAAACATTGAGACATAGTAACTGTCCCGAAGTCTGAACAGTGTTATGAAGCATTGACATTTAACTGTCCTGAAGTGGCTGCAACTTAGTCTTGCACTTATGGGATGGAAATGCAAGTCTTCTTTAGAGTGTCAGAACACATGCAAACAATCAAAAGACCTTCATTATTTTCAGTGAGTATCTATTGTTATCAGCAATATTTGCTCTTTGCGCACTAACATGCAGTAGGCATGTAGGACAAGAATGCATGAAATCTCGACAGAGATGGTGAAAGAATCAGGGTGCTAGTGAGGTATGCATGCTTAGATTGTCACCACTTGACTGTCCTTATGCTACTTTACTTTACAGGCTACATTGAATGCCTATGAGAGTGTAGATTCATTGTGGGCTAGTACATTCACAGGCTGCTGTACCAATACAGGATGTCAAGAGCACATCATTGCTATCCTCCAGGAGGTGGATATCATAGGGTGGGATGATGTTAGACCTCGTTGTGAAAAAGAGTTGTTGGAGGTGCAAGAGTTAGCCAGGGATGCCGAGGCACTTTTGCAATCTGTCACTAATCTTGAAGGTGTATACTCAGATCAGCTCAAAACCGATTGTGCTCAACTTGTTTCCAGAGCGCAGCTATGGATTGCAGCAGAACAACAGATGGTTGCATTGATGGACCAAGGACAGGAAGTACTCGATCAAGCTCTCATTGAGGACAAGCTTGTCTGGCAATGTTCGTAGTTGCTATGCTAGATACACATCAGACAATATATTACACCTTCACAGCAACACCAGCCTTGAGTGCAGTAATGACAGTCTCAATTCCATTGTTCACAGTCTTTGCCTTTGCATAGAGAGCACCACTAACACTGGTGACCCAGGGACCAACACTGTTCCTGTCAGCAGTCAAATAAGAGAAGCCAGGAATATGAGGCAACAGAGAAGCTTACCATCCAGAGAACACTCCAATCTTGCAGCCCCTGGTGACATAGTAGACAGTTATGCCATCTGTGGGAGTGAGTGGGACATTAAAGTACACTCCCTTGTGTACATTAAGGATACTGCCAAAGGCAAGAGCAGCATCAGCATCAGCATAGCCATCTGTTGAATCTATAATAGTGGTAGGGGCAATGCTGGTAGTGGTGGTGATGGCAGGAGCAGCAGGCTCTTCGTCATCACTGCTGATAGAAGACTCGGGCTCAGACTGCAAATCCATTGAAGCAACACTGAGGTTGTTGGAGATAAGGCTTCAGGCCATATTTGCACGGTTGGCAGAGGAGAGTTGAAGGGTAGTGGTGATAGTGGGAGCAGGCTCTTCATCATCACTGCTGATGAAAGACTCAGGCTTGGGCTTGGCCTGCGAATCTGCTGAAACAATGTTGTTGGAGAGAAGGCTAGAAGCCAGACTTGCATGGTCGGCAGAGGAGAGTTGAAGTGATGATAGCAGCATGCTAACAGCCGCTAATTTGAACCTGGTCAGTATGGTAGAATGAACAGAACATGAAGAACAGAGTCATCAGACATACCAATTGTGTCTCTGGTTATAGCAGAAGTCTCTGCACTGGCTGAGGACATGATGAAGTAGATTGGTACTGGTGTATGAGCATATGAGATGCAAGAATTGAAAGACTTCCCTTTTATCCATGCAGGCATCCGCAGACTAGAGAAACTTGAAGCTGAAGCTCAAGTCTTGATAAAAATAAGAAATTCAGCCAAGTTGGCAACTAGCTAGTCAAAGTGGAATTCAGAATCATAGAATGCATTCTTGGATATGACAAACAAAAACAAACAAGCACAAACTCCTCTTCCTTCCCATGTTGATTCGCACTGATTTGCCAACTGTCTTCACATGGCTGATGGCCTTACATTTGTAGGTGAGTACTCTGTATTATACACCCCAGTATGTCCAGTCTGACACACATCCCACTCCCCAGTACATCCAATAGTCAACAGGCTCTATGCCAGTCTCTTGGAACTCATGCTTAATGATCCATCACATTTCCCACAAGAAGAAAGTCTTGAATTCCTATCATTGCATGTCAGCAAGTGGAAAGCTCGAGCCCAAGCACTTACTACACGATGTTGTGCCACTGCCTGCAACAGTTGCACTCCCTTTGAATATGTGAGTGGGATATCTTTTTCCTCATCAAAGTCTGGCCAGAGGAACTCTGTCAATGGCCACATCTCGTCATACTCCTCAACTAGATCATCAATAAATAGGTCTGTTTCCACAAACCCTAGCTTGAGTTTCCTATATTCAGGAATTTTGGTATGCAGAAATTCAGCCTGTTCTTTGTCCATCTGGACACAGCAGATTATGTTAGACATGATGTCTACAGCAGGACGAGGCTCCACATACCCTGCGATTTTAGATTTGAGAGTGGGTGTGAGTTTCAGTTGTTAGTCAGAGTTATGCGCTCAGAGCCTTATGTATTTCCAGAGGGATCCGCAATGTAATAGCCATTCTCATGAGGCGCCTTTCCACACATCTGACATGACGCGACCTACCAAAAAGCATCAGGTGCATTTTGAGCATTTTTTCCAGCAGCCCTCAGCCACACCTCCTCAACAATGTGTTCATGAATATACACTGACAACCAGGCGCACCACATTGCAAACAGCATACATACTGCATCATAATGAGGTCCCTCTGGAAGGGGAGATGAATGAACTGTCAGCACCCAAGTCTCAGTGGCCGATTTACAACTTCTTCAATGAAGTTCCTCTGGATATGGACATGGATGTCATCGCATACGACCTTCCACCTGCAAAGTGCAGACGGACTGCAGCAGTAAGCAGTGATCCAGTCAAAATTGAGTATTTGATTTAATAAGAATTGGTTTGTACAGGATAACCCTCTCCTTGCCTGGTTACCTGAACACCAAACATTTCTTGATGAAACTATTTTTTTGGAGGGGTGTGGACACAAAGCTATTTGCTCACTCTGTCACTGTGGCAATTCCGAAAAAAATTACCAGTGCAAGGATTGTTTCGGACCTGGGATGTTCTGTTGTGCCTGTATTGTCCAACAACACACATGCCTGCCATTGCATAGGATCGAAGTAAGCTTAATTTTGTGTCAGCAAAGCATTTCTAATCTAGCCTGAATGCAGGAGTGGACTGGGAGTTTTTTCCAGCACACAACTCTCAAGTCTTTGGGTATGTGAGTCCAGCTCGGTCACAATCCTGGTCATTGGTGCCATAATGCTCATCCCTCATCTGGAAACAACTTTGTCATCATCGATATCAGTGGTATTCAAGAGATCACACTGGATTTTTGCGGTTGTGAGAGTGCACAGATTCATTTCAAGCAGTTGCTGCAAGTTCACTGGTACCCCACAACCACAAGCGACCCGCAGACAGCTGCTACATTTAATGTACTGGAGCATTACCATCTCCTCTCCTTTGAATTGAAGGTATCAGCATATGAATTCTACCACAGTCTAGCGAGGCAAAGTGATAACACCGGACTTTCCCCTATCAAAGTAAGTTCCAACATGATTTTGGTTCTTAAATCTTACTAACAAATTATGCAGGATCGGTACTCAGCTTTCATGCGCATGGTGCATGAATGGTGCCACCTATGGCAACTGAGGCACAGTGGCAGAGGGCATGACCCCACTGGTGCCAATGGGACCAACAGCGGGGAGCTCGCTGTTCTCTGTCCAGCTTGCCCACACCCTGGGAAGAATCTGCCTGATGGATGGGAGAGTGCACCTCCATCAATACAGTGGGAATTTTGTTTAACTTTGGTCGCAGTACACTCATCCTTCACTGCAGGTGGCTGTATGCACTGTTTATCGCAATAGATGCAAATTTCTGCCTCAAATGCAAAGCAGTCTCTTCAGATGACATTGATCCAGGCTTGAACGCAGGTTGGGCATACTTTGTGGAGGAAACAAAGTACAAGAATTATCTATCTGCATGGTCAGGCAAGAAACAAGAAGTATGTGTAGTTTTGTATCTACTTGTAATGTCTGATGCAAACCTTTTCTAGCATAGCACCTGTGTTAGCCACAACACAGTTAATATGGCCAACACGAAATCAGCATGTGGCCTAGTGGCAAATGGTGTCGGTACTGTGGACTGTGCATGCCATGAGTTCAAATTGCCGACTGGGGTAGGAGATCTTCAAAAGGGTGAAAAGTAAGTTATGCTTGAATTCATTTGGCCTGTTAATTGACAACAAACTGTAGGTACCTTAATATGGACTACTTTGTATTTTCAGCCCTGATTGGGTTTACAGTCACAGCTCTCAACATCTCATATGACATCGCATGCCAGTGGTCAAAGAAACTATGGACCAGGATGGACTCCATGCTGGCTCATTTGCATGTGCTGCATGATGCAATGCAGATTCATTACTTCATTCCCAAGTTCCACATTGGAGCTCACATCACCACCTGCCAGACGATGTTCTCATGGAATTTAGCCAGGTTTGTAGGAAGGACCGATGGAGAGGGGCCTGAACGTGGGTGGGCAAATATCAATTGGGTTGCCTCGAGCACGAAAGAGATGGGACCAGGGAGTCGATGTGATATGCTAGACGATCACTTCAGCAACTGGAACTGGAAGAAAGTTACAATGTTTGGTGAGTTTTTTTTTGCTCTAACATTATTTGAAGCTCCTTGCTGAAGTGTTGAAGGTCGCACCCTGAAACGCAAGATGGAGGAGGCACCCAAATGGAAGTGGGAACACTGTGCTGCCTTGGATGAGCTGGAGGCAACCATTCAGCCTGGGCTACTGGATGAGTGGAGACTAGAAGTCGAGGCTTGGGAGGAGGACAATACCAAACCAAACCCTTTTGACAGCAGGGTCACTTGTGAGTCGTCTCTTGTTTCCTCTGCAGCTTTGGCTGATCACTGCTTAGCTATTACCCAGGCAGGAGTGCGTGCTCAGCTCATCAAATTGGAAGCGCAGGAATTGGAAGTGGGAAATGATTGCTCACTCCATGCAGATGTCTCGCCGAGCATACTTATAAGTAGTGGGATTGAATTGGAGGATCAGCAGTGCATTAAATTATCATTATTGTTATCTTTTTTGTTCTGACGCGCCAATAACAGACAGCGGCTGAAATATGACATCACCAACATCTCACTTCATCCTACAGACAAGCAATGAGAGGCTATCACCAATAGGACCAACACACTACAAAGATGGATAGACTCATGGATAAGTATCCAAGAACATTACATGCCCATAGTTTCAGTACTCCATTCATCACTCAACTCTACTGCTAGTGCTTCGGAAGCTGTCCTTAAGCCACAACACTGTCATCTCTATCTTCCACCTTCAATTGATGCCCATTTACATTGTGACCAGTGGCTCCTCCAGCATGAATGGGACCTCCAGCATGCCCAGGCCCATGATGCCCTTAATGAAATCCATTCACACCTCTGTCTGTGCTCCCACATGTACAAGTTCAAAGACAAGAATCTCCATGGCCAAGTGGCATCCACTCACACTCAGAATCTGATCACATGCATTGAAGCAAGGAAAGATACAGGAGTCAAGAAATACAAGTGCGCATGTCAGGCACTGGAGTCACTGAGTGGTCATTTGGATAAGGTGGGTTGGGAAGTATCTCTACAATCTCTCAGAAGCAAAGATGTGAGACCCATGGGGGATTTCGTGGGTGGGCATACTCAAGGAACAGGAATGATATCATGGATTTGGCTAGCCACAGGTGTTGATACTGGTTGCACAGAAAATGACTGTGTACAAGATTGTAAGTTTCTTGAGCTTGCAAGAAGGACATGTAACTGATTGCACTTCTAGGTGTTCACATTGAGTGGTGTAAAGCTCGTGCACATGTGGCACAATGGTCTGAAGAAGTGCAACTACTGCTCGAAGAAATGAGGTGCATGCTGGTTTTTTTTGCAGTGGCAGGCTGACTGGTGGTGCAAGGATGCCAACCTACATGTACTGGAGAAGCCCTCCAACCAGGAGGGCCTGCAAGCATATGCACATCATCAGGCTGCACTACATTGTGCAATGTGTGGTTCATTCCAAGCATTATGGAGCACTGTGCCTCAACTTGTGGAATCCACCCTTATCCCCAAGGTCTCAGAGTTGAATGATATCCATATACCTTCAATTGACTGCCCCCCCGACTTACATGATGAGTCTCTGTATGATGAAGACTGTGTATAGCACTACATTTATGTATCTAGGTACTCAATAGAACCTCTTTGTGATTGTTACATCAGCATGTCAGATCCATTCTAAGATCCCCGATCACAGGATGAGAATGAAATAGAACACAAACATACAGAAACAGGAACAGAACATACAGGAACAGACTCAGAACCTGAATGTATAGTGCAAGGGAGGACTGGTAGGGACTATGATCTATAGTAAGGTGATATATCACACCACCTGATGTATTATGGTTGAAAATGTATCACAGATTTACCATAGCTATAGGGAGTGATATATCATTACCACAGGGACAGGTGACATTGTGCCGATTCTTATGGTGTGGCCCTGCAGGGGGTCTAGACCGGCGCTCTTGGCTGCCTGTGCCAACCTTGTGACAAATTTCAACTTCATCAAGGGACAATGGACGTTGCTGAATTTATATGAAAATAAAGTGATGCCGGGGAGGGGGTCGTTAATGTGAAAATGATTGGCTAAGGCTGTTACAGTCACGTACACCCCTATTCGTTTTTCACCTTACTATCCTTGTATTATGTCATGTGCCACATGATGCTGCTGCTAGACCTGACTCTAACATCTGTATTACATCATAATCACTGTTGCCATTGTTAGATGACTCACTTCTTATCTCTGACTCATTGTTGACTTATGCTTGCCCTAAAGTCACTTACAAACATATATATAAGTCAACAATGTATTTAGTAGTTCCTTACTTTAATCTTACTAGGTTTTCACCTGGATATTCTCTCACTTAAGATCTCCAATCTTAAGTCATCTGAAACTGATATTCAAGCCTAAAGACACTCTCTTTGGTTTGTCTTACAACCCTTGCATTTGCAAGGTCTTGACTATAACTTCAGCCGTAAACTCTTATCGAGTTGCTGTTGTTACAACCATCCTAGTTCATAACAAAGGCCACCTCTGGATCAGTAAGGTTGTTCTGCCTTGTCCAGAATACATCCTCCCTGGTTTGAGATGCTTTTGTTCGCAGTAGATGGAAGACTATGGTGGCAAGACCATTGCAGTCTGTTTCCCTGTGAATGTCTGAACGCCTGATGTGCATGGAAGGATCAAAGGTTGTTAGGCTTCGGACTGTGAATTCCCTGGCTCGGACAATGGAATAGAAAGTGGTTGTGAGACAGCTTCCTACTGCAGCGTCCAGAGGAATGTTGGGGTCCAGTTTTTGCAAGACACTGGTGATGAATGCCACTGTGTATGGTGGGTGCTTCTTCTGTTTCGATGATGGTGGCATGAGGTTTTTCGCAGCTTTTAACATGGCATCTATTTGATCATCTATCAGTGACCATGATTTTCCATGCAGGATGTGCCAAGCACGGGTGCTGTGGATGTAACCTGATATTTTCTTGCTGGAATATGAGCCAGCCAGGTCTGATATGAAGGCTGAAATGAGTTCTGAAGATGCAGGAGCATGCCGGGCATCTTCAATGGCTTTTGAGTCACAATAGACATGGAAGGCAAGAATACCACTGCCATAGGCTTCTCTGGTGCTGCTGGCCCATGCGTGCACCATAACGTCTTGGATGCATTGTGCATCAGCATGAGGAAGACGTGCCAGTGCTGTTTGATCTCCTGCAGGTAGCCATACAGTGGCTCAAAAAACTGTCCACATGTTTTTGCATTTTTTACTATTTACAATATTGTGTGAGAATACATAAAGACCTCAGTGACATACTGATACCATATTGTGGTGCTGCTTCAGGGCTTTGGATTGAGCACCACATCATGAGAATCAGAGGAGATATGGTGGAGATACAAGGCTTACAAAATCATGACTCATGCAGACAGTTTTTTGAGCACATATTAAAACTATATAAATCATCATTTATGACACCATAACAATCATGCCACCATTAAATAAATTATAAAGTGGTGTCATTATGTCATTTTAAAACCATATCTAACTATACAAACCAAAAATTTCCATATGTCATGGTTATATTCACCATGAAAGCCACCCCCCCTGCTCAAAGGGATAATATCCTCTCTCTTTCCTATTCTGGCCTCCCTGCTTGTCAAATTTCCTCTAGAACTGGAGTATCCAAGTCCACTGTGGCCAAGTTCATCAAAGAAAGTCACATAGACAAGGAAAACTTCTGTGAAGGGCATCCATCCAAGCTCACCTCTACTGATAGGAGGGCTATTATTCAACATATCACTACAGGAAAGGCTGATAATGCTGTCCAGGTCACCTATTACATCAATTCCACCATCACATTCCCTGTCTCTTCACACACTGTGAGAAACATTCTCAAGACAGCTCATCTCAGGTCAGTAACAAGGAAGAAAAGGCTCTCCTCTCTATCACACATAAACAGAGATGACTAACTTTTGCCTTAGCCCATCAGAATTGGATTACATGGACTGGAAGCATGTTATATGATCATATAAGACCACAATAAATAGGATTGGGTCAGATGGCAAGGTATATATGTGAAAAAAGAAGGGTGCTAGTCCTCTCTGCATATGTGTGATAGAGAGGAGAGCCTTTTCTTCCTTGTTACTGACCTGAGATGAGCTGTCTTGAGAATGTTTCTCACAGTGTGTGAAGAGACAGGGAATGTGATGGTGGAATTGATGTAATAGGTGACCTGGACAGCATTATCAGCCTTTCCTGTAGTGATATGTTGAATAATAGCCCTCCTATCAGTAGAGGTGAGCTTGGATGGATGCCCTTCACAGAAGTTTTCCTTGTCTATGTGACTTTCTTTGATGAACTTGGCCACAGTGGACTTGGATACTCCAGTTCTAGAGGAAATTTGACAAGCAGGGAGGCCAGAATAGGAAAGAGAGAGGATATTATCCCTTTGAGCAGGGGGGGTGGCTTTCATGGTGAATATAACCATGACATATGGAAATTTTTGGTTTGTATAGTTAGATATGGTTTTAAAATGACATAATGACACCACTTTATAATTTATTTAATGGTGGCATGATTGTTATGGTGTCATAAATGATGATTTATATAGTTTTAATATGTGCTCAAAAAACTGTCTGCATGAGTCATGATTTTGTAAGCCTTGTATCTCCACCATATCTCCTCTGATTCTCATGATGTGGTGCTCAATCCAAAGCCCTGAAGCAGCACCACAATATGGTATCAGTATGTCACTGAGGTCTTTATGTATTCTCACACAATATTGTAAATAGTGAAAAATTTCAAAACATGCGGACAGTTTTTTGAGCCACTGTATAACCTAGTCACTATTGGGCATTCCACTTGCACTGTCTTACCTTACTCCTCACTTTCGCTCCCTTTGATTTCTTCTCGCTGTTGCTAGTTGGACATTGAATAGTGCTATCACATAAAACAACTTGCATAGCACCACTCACTTATATGCACATTTCTCTTGTCAGAACTCGCTTGTTGCTAGTTGCTGATCGCTATAGTGCTACTCATTGGGTTTTTGGTCTTAGGTCGCTATAGGTTATTAGTCCTTCATGCTAACGCTCCCCTTGCATATTAGTAGGGAGTTGCTTCATTAGCAGTCCTCTTGGGTCAAATACTACACTTGCACCTATTTGGATAAGTAGTGCTAGTTTCTAACCAGCCTAGTTGCTATTACTCCTTCACACTGGAGGGAGGGACCATATGAGGAGGCAGATGGTTGATGCCATGCCCCAGGTACAGGGGTAGAGGTTAGAATCGATGGAAGAATTAATGGAAGATATGGTAGCAGATGGATATAAGGGAAATGATAGGTTTTGTATGAGCCAAAACTTGCCTGGTTTTCCTGGTTTGGGAACCATGGAAAGCAGGGCTGTCTGGAAAGGACTGATGAGTTTTTCTGTGTCTGACTTAGATAATGGGCTGATATAGTGCCCGGTAGAGTATTCACGATCCAGTATGGTAGAAAAGGCATTGTGGTGCATGCATAATGAAGGACTGTTAGATGGGGTGTAAGTGTGAGATATTTTGGGGATGCTTCCCATGAAACCGATACATAGACTGTTAGGAATATGTGCATATTTGTCAATGAGATGCAAAGAGTTAAGAAAAAGTAGCCATGCTTCGGGTTGATATGGAGTGAGCACCTTACATGCTCTTGCCTTGAGGACACCCTTGAGCTCCGTGATCCTTTGCTCCACATCCAGAACACTTGTGGACATGGGATTGGGCTGTGTTGGAACATCCTTTCAGTCTTTGCCAGTTGTAGCAGAGCTTGAGACCTTCTGGATTGACCAGGTGACCCTCTGCATTTCGACGGCATCAGGTCTTGGTCTTTTTGTCCCAGAGGAACTCGGAAGCACATCTGTGAATGGGGTGATGGAAGTGGCCAAGGCAGAGGGCACAGGCCAAAGAACCGGATTGACCTGTGTCCCCTTGAAAAGACTGTTGATTTTTGTAAGGTTTCTTCCCACCTTGGTCACTTGCACAATAGGGGTGGAAGCAGTTGTCCTTAGCTGGGGAAGGTGGATCTGTTTGCCTTCCTTGGTAGGTGTTGCCTTCCTGACCTCGGGGTCAAGGCATGAGGTTGGTGGCTGGGATTGTGTTTTGTAGCTGTGTGGTGTGAGCAAATGAGCCAATCCAGTTTGGGACAGTGATAGCATTATTGGGGAAGCAAAGATTACATGTTTCGAGTAAGCATACAAGCAGGTGAACATAAGCGTAGTGTTCATTTGAGTATTAGGATGTGGGTAGCACGATCATGGAATAGGGAAGCATAGGGTAGCGGAGCAAAGCAAAGGTTAGCAAAGCAAAGTTGTGAGGTAGTGAAGTAAAGGGTAGCAAAGCAAGGTAGTTGGCATGTAGTGTAGGGTGATGATTGGGTTTTGAGAGTCAAGAAGCAAAAATGGTAGCAGTTCAGGGAAGCAGGTAGATGGTGCATGTTACAATTATGGCTACCCCTATCTCTTTTTCCTTTCGTCTTTCCTTCACCTGTGTATTACGTCATGACCGCGCCTCGTTGCGCCATCATTAGGCTAAACCTTTCACCATATCTGTATTACATCACGACCGCAGCAGCCGTCGCTAGATGACTCATCCCTATGATGTAGGCCTTATCTCTGACTCGTCTTGATGACAAATACGTACCGGCCCTAAAGTACCTACATCTATATAAACCCGGTCATGTACTTAGATAGACTTCACTTTAATCTACTAGGTTCTACCCAGAAACATCCTTCGCTTAGGACCTCCAATCCTAAGCGTCCGATATCGATATTCAAGTCGGAGACACTCTCTCTAACTTGTCTTAAGAAGCCTTGTATTTGCAAGGTCTAGATCCAGCTCTAGATGTTACTCTTATCAAGTATCTATTGCCGTGCCCATCCTAGTTCGCCGTAACAGTGCATGTCATAGCGTGGGATGTGTGATGAAAGAAATAGAAACATTGCATCAGTGTTCAAACCGTTTGATGATGATTGGGTGATGTGTACCAGTTTCAAGCCCTTGTCGCATTCTGCCTCCCATATGTCATCTGATAAGGTGTTATATAACATGTTATTGAAGATGCTGATGTTGAAACCTTGATCCTGGTTGAGCTGGTTGTGCCATTCACAGTGAACAGTCCCTGCGTAGCGTAACAGGGTCTTCTCCCCCCGTGGGCACATTCTGTGCTCATGGTTGGTGATGAGTGTGAAGAAAAGAGCAAGTGATTGTTGATGCTTCTCTGGCCACCTGCTCTTTTCTATGTGGACTAGGAAGCTGGTCTTTGCCAAGTCAAACTGTCACCACAATAGGTCATGGTCCTGTAGGGCTTTGTGGGAGGCCTTGAACAATGCTAGCATTTTCAAGGCAACCATGCCATCAACTTTCACAAAGCCGAAAGTGTCGTCTGAATCCAACGTGGATCTAGATGTGGTGGAAGCTTCCCAGCAGCCATCAGGACTAAAGTACCAAAGTTCTACATACTCCATGTTTTTGATCTTCTGGATGGTGTATTGTGATGGACAGGGGATGATGATGTCTGCCATGATCATGGCTGTGTCAAAGTCATTGATCTTGGGCTTCTTCTTCTCTGCTTCGCATCACTCTTCCTGCTCTTCAGCTTCCTTCTCGGCATTCTCACGCTCTAAGCGCTCCCATGCAACGCAGGCATCTTCTTCTGTTTGTTCCTGCCAAAGGTCAATGCACTCTTGGCACTCAAATCTCCACCCATTTGCCATGTTGGCAAGTGCATCTTCTCTGCTTATGCTCCCCACCATGAGAGGGCATTGAGCCAACCAATATATGCGGCTGACTCAAAATTAGGCTGTGCTTCTAATGCTGGGTCAGTTAAAATTTGTTCCATGATGTATTGGAAGAATTCGGGTATGTAGTTTCTTGTTTGGGAGCTTAGCTTTGCTTATTGTTTTTAAAGAGAATTAGGATGAGGATGTCTGATCATTGAAAGAGGAGAAGAGGAAGGAAAAGAAGGAGGGAAGACAATGTCATTTTGGACAACTGAAATGAGAGGAGGTGTTGTCACAGTACGAAGGCAAAAGGTTCGTACTGGGGGGGGCCCTTGATCTCATACCACAACCATGGTTGAGAATTCCCATGCATAAAAAGTGGGCAAGGTTGAGCTGTTGTAGCTCTCAGCATCATCTGGCCTATGAACCATATTAAAAAACTCTTATAACTCTTACAACTAACAGAATATCAACCCAACACTGGAAATCTCAATATGAAAATAAAACTTTCCAAATACATGACTCCAACAAACAATGACAAAAAGAATAACCTGATCACATGTAACCACACATGTCAATGAAAATGACTTGAATGCACCATAAGTGGACGACTAAGACACCCGAATATGTCAAGATGACTGCATGAAGATAACAGCACAGACCTGCACATAAAACAGCACCCCTCCACCACCTTTTTTTCAACACATACTAACCTTCTCATCATAAAACCCCCTTATGAAAAACATCACTCACCAGCTAACTGTAATAAACCATAGGAAATCACCAAAACCAAGATGATCTCGGCCACAATGCCCCTACTGAACCACCCTGGAATACTACAAGGAGAAAACTGCGCAGAATGAAGAGGACTATAAAAACCCAACCCCCAGCACAACATTCCCTGTCCGAACAATAATGAAAGATAAAGAACCCACTTCTGTCAAGGCCATCACACAGGCCACTCACCCATACCCCACCACCCCCCGCCCAATGTCTCAATCTTCCAAGTCTGGACCAAAATATTTCCTGCCAGACATCCTACAAGAAGATGATCTGGAGAGTGTGATGGATCTGATCCCATACCAGCCTGATCCACCATCCCATACCTCCCCTCCCAGTCCACAATCCCCCCCTGATACACCAACCCCTGGAGATCACATAAACTGTGTCCACCCCCTCAGACCTGACCTCCTGGTATACAAGGAATTCAATGTTAAGGTACACACTCCTAGCGCCAACAACACCCATGAAACCAGTCTCACCAGCTCTATCCATGCCCCCAGTAATGTATCGGGAGACCAGTTGATGAACGACCTCCTAAGCCCTACCACCACACACACTCCTACACCAGAAGAACAAGCTATCCTAGCACACCTGGTGCTCGCAGATATGAACTGGTCTGTATTAAGTCACAACAGCATGAGCCAAAGCACAGCCCTCCCACAATTCACCCCTGCCCCAACCGGTGGATTTCCAATCGTGCACATGCTTCACTCAGCACAAATTTTCGACCACTTGGACAACAGGGTCCTGCTCACCTGGTTCCAGGTTGAGCACCCTAAGTTCATGGTTCGAGTTTTCAATCATTCAGGAAAGGACGTGGCTGAATGGGCCGCCATAATGGCAGAACATATACGCACCACCATCACTATCATAGCAGAGTCCATCCATCATACCACCCCCCCATCTGCGTTTCCCTGCCGCAACCCCAAGGCGGAAAAGGAGCAAAAGGCCTACCAATCAGTTTCTTAATTCACAAAGTAACCAACGAGATGAAGGACCTAATCCTGCATCAATGCATATGGTCCACAACTGATCTCACTTTCGAAGCCCTTCCCTTTAACTGCGCACATCCCCCTGAACTTCTCTTCGGTCTAACAGGTTTCACAATGCTAGATGTAGCCACAATTCTCCAAGCTGTCACAGAAATGTGGACTCAAGAAAAGCACCACAACTGCATTGACAAACTCTTCTCAAGCTGTGGCTTACCTGACGACAAGATGATATATAAGGCAACCCATGACTTCATCTCATCATGCTGCGTTGAACTCTTAGATTTCAAGATAACAGGAGGTCTCTCAGTATCCCACTTCAATATCCTCACATCCAGTCCCACCAACAATGCACAGACCTGGACTGACCTCAGACTCTACCTAAGCTCACTCACTTACTCAACCAGTCTTGACAGTTGCAGAAACCCAATGGCTCTTTTCGCTTGCCAAATCTGCCACTCCCTTGCCCACCCATGTGGTTTATGTCCATTCCCACTTACCCCCCACTGGAACAGCCCAAAAGTGGGCAATAGAACCAGCAACAACGCATCTCGCCCAAATGGGAGAACTAGGGAGAACAGGCCCAACTGGAACACCTGACCTGACATGACCTAATTCATGAAGTACATACTCAATGAGAATAGCACATACTTAACTAAGAACCACCCTCACTTACCTACCTCCAATCCCCCCTCAGTTTTATGACTCAGATACACCCTCATATACCTACATATCCATCTCACCTTAGTCTGCATACAGCAATCACAGTCCTTTCTACCAGAAACATACAGAAAACGTAACATAACAAAACAATGCAACACTCCCACCTTAAGCCCAACCCTTAAGATCACGTGAGCAGTTGATAAAACATGTCCAATTACAATGAGACATGAATTGGAAAACAAAACCTTGGCCCAAATATACTGACTGTTTGTAAAAACAGGACAGGAAAGCTGTGGTTGTCTCACCAAAGCATGGTGCAAACCAGAACACGGAAACCTATTTAGGTTAGAATGAGCTGTGCCAAGAGGCTTAAGTTTACTCTAGTAGATGCCCTCAGTGTCACAGGAACTGGAATGCATCAAAAAAGCTAACATAATTCACTGATATCAGGCCAGGATATGCCCTTTCTAAGTCTACACAATGATCATAAAGTAGTCTTAGTAATATGATCACCAACAATCAACAATCAACCCCCCCCCACTTTTGGTTTCTCTGTCAGTCATGGTGCTTGCTTCCCAGACTGTGGAGGGGGACCACCTCATACCACTGGGAGGTCCCCCAATGACCAGTCTGGGTCTTCTGGAAGTGGATTTGCCTACCATAGGTGACCCCAACATCAACCTCAAAGCCCCATCAGGCACACACAAAATGAGAACATCCCTACACCCCCCACACCCCCACATAACACCAACAATGCAAACATAAACCAAAGGCACAATAACCCACATCACAACAAACAACAAGACATGGGACAAGAAAACCTGACACTAAATGAAAAGAAAACACAAGCAAATATCAAGATAGCAACATTAAATATGAAAGGACATACCTCTGTCAACCTTGCACAAAACTCTACATCAAAATGGACAGCAGTAAACCAAACCATGCATGATCAGAAGATAGGTATATTATGTATGCAAGAAACTCACTTAACGAATGAGCATGAAACACAAATAGAAGCCTTATTCTCCCGCCATCTAAGAGTGTTAAATACGAGTGACCCACTGCAACCTGGCAGTTCTGCAGGAATTGCCTTTGTTCTAAATAGAGAAATAACAAATGCATCAAGCACAACAATGGAAGTACTAATACCTGGGAGAGCAGCCATCCTGAGTATAAATTGGCATAACAACAAAACAATAAGAATCCTAAATGTGTACACACCAAACAACGCAACTGAACACCACAACTTCTGGAATAAAATAAAAACAGAATGGTCACAACATAACCCTGGTGCCATAGATTTCATGCTAGGCAACTTTAACATCACCAAAAACCCAATTGACCGAGCCCCTGCAAGATTAGATAATGAAAACGCAATAAATGCGCTGAGAGAGTTATGAACCACAATAAATGTACACGACGCATGGCAAAATGAACACCTGCACAATCGAGCATTTACTTTTAGCAGCAATCACCACACACTGTCATGGCTAGACAGGATCTACATATCAGAGAGACACAATGAGAGTATGATTAACTGGAATATGAATATAAGCCAAATATCTTCTGATCACTACATGGTGTCAGTATGTTTCACCCCCCCAGGCCTTCCCCACATAGGCAAAGGAAGATGGACTTGGCCTATTGGTGTGATGATGGATAAGGACCTGATCAAACAAATCATCAATATAGGACAGGAAAGCCAACAAGAAATCGATGCACAAAGTCACAGATCAAATGAAGTAAACCCACAAAATGTGTGGAAAACCTTCAAAACTAAAATAACAGCCGCAGCCAGAGAAACAACAAAGAAGCACCTAGCGAGAATAAATCAGCAAATCAAAGCACTAATGAAAGACCTATGTAAAACCTCAAACACGGAAGACATAGATACCTCCGAAAACACTAGAATAAATAGAATACTAATAGAGCAAGAGATCGATCACTTACAAAAAAAACAAAACAAGAGAGCACAGCTTAAAGCGAGAGCGAAATGGGCAATGCACAGGGAATCGATAAGCAAATATTGGTCAAGGATAAACAAACAAAAGGCACCACAGGACATAATCCACCAACTCAAAATACCAGGATCAAATAGATTCACCACAAAGTCCGAAGAAATGGCAGAAATAGCAAGGACATACCACAATGACATCCAACTAATCGATGTACCCACGCTCAATACCAACAACCAACAACAAATAAGAGAAACGGCCCTCAAAGAAATACCAGACCACCAAAAACTCAGCACACTGATGAATCAAATGAACAAACTATTGAAGGAAGAACATATTATATACACACTTATGTCATCATGCTCTGGAAGCGCAACTGGAATCAACGGGATCCCATATGAACTGTGGAAACATCTCCATGATGTGTATAAAGAAGTGTGCAGGAATGAAGAACCTGGATTTAATGTTATAAAGACCCTTACCATAGTCATAAATGATATACAATTACATGGAGTCCATACAGACTCTGATTTCACTTTAGGTTGGATGTGCCCTTTATACAAGAAAAATGACCAAACTTTAATTGAAAATTATCGCCCAATAACCCTACTCAACACTGACTACAAAATATTAACCAAGGCACTAGCCATACAACTAACAAAACACATTAGAACAATGATACACCCCAATCAAAGCAGCTTTGTCCAAGGAAGATCTATTTTCAACCCAATCTGCTTGACCCAGGTAATGACTGCTTATGCTGATCTAATGGAAGAAAATGGAGTAATTGTAGCCCTTGATCAAGAGAAAGCTTACAACAAAATCCACCACAACTACCTCCTCGAAACACTAAAAACCTTTGGACTCCCACCACTGTTCATTGAAACCATTAAAAGCCTATATGAGTCAGCATATACAAAAGTAGCCATAAATGGCTTCTTAAGCTCACCATTTAAAGTCACACATGGGGTAAGACAAGGAGACCCCCTATCATGCCTGCTCTTCAATATAGCCATTGAGCCTCTAGCATGTGCACTCCATAACTCCCTGAAAATAAAAGGATATAAAATCCCTGGTGTAACTGAAAGAATAATAGTCAATATGTATGCAGATGACACAACAGTATACCTCACCCATAACGACAGCTACTCTGACTTAGAAGACATCTTACAAAACTGGTGTAGCACATCAGGCGCAAAATTTAACCTCAGAAAGACTGAAATCCTACCAATAGGAACCACCGAACATCGACAACATGTGATCCAAACAAGAAAACTCAATGAAAGAGATAATCCATGGCAGGACCAGATATGCATAGCCCAAGACAGAAACCCAATATGTTCACTTGGCACTTGGATAGGAAACAATGTTGAGCACACAACATCATGGGAGCTGATCCTAGGAAAGATAGAAAAGAACTTCAAAAGATGGGAACTCAGTCATCCATCACTTACAGGGAAAAAACTTATTGTCCAAATGGTGGCAGGTGGCATGACGCAATTCCTTGTGAAGGCACAAGGAATGCCCAAATCTATAGAAAATGCGATCACAAAACAAATTAGAGACTTCATCTGGAATGAGAAGCGAACACCACCAATCAGCAACAAGCGCTTAGAAAGACCAATTGCCAAAGGAGGCCTAGACCTTCTCAATATTAAGAAAAGAAACAAAGCCATCAATATTACATGGCTGAAGTCATACATGGACTTATCAACTCACCAGCCAACATGGACCTTCATAGTTGACACCATGATAAACAGCATGAAACCAGATGACACCACTAACACCACAGACCCAAGAGCATTCCTCACATCTTGGTCCCCCCTGACACAAGGAAAGCAAGTGAACAAACTGCCACTGATAATCACAACAATGTTAAAAACAGCCAAAAAAACACTGCACCAGTTTCACACCTCTGAAAATATCAAACAACCTTAAAGAGCAACTACCAGCCTGGGAACACATCAGCGCTCCACCTAAAACATACCACAAAATTAAAAACCTTGTTTAAAACAAATACATAATGTAAAATTAGTGAAAGATCTAAAGAATATATCAAGGAGACTGACTAACCAAGCTATACACAAACAACAAGACTCCTGCTTATGCGAAGACTGCATAGATGACCATATCAAAGGCTGCAAAAATCCACATAGATGTGCAATGACTGGAGATAAGATCCTCCGTGACCTCCTACACAAGTATAACCCATACTCATCACCAACGAAAGACAACCTGACATTGACACACCAGAGGTTAGAAAAAAATGCAAACACAAGAAAACAACCATGACAAGAATGCACCTTCAACCCATCCACTATGATGAAAAATAACCTATCAGAAGGTTTCTGCATCTTCATAAACCCAACCAGACCCATCCATATACCAGCCTACCACCTTCACATACCTCAAAACCAACAACCCCCCCAAAACAACCCACTCACCATTTTCACTGATGGCTCCTGCATGAATAATGGAAAACAGAACACAAGATGCGGTGGAGGTATCTGGATAACAGACAATCACCTACTTAACTGTGCAATAAGCATGCCCAGCACTCACCACTCAAACCAAATCGGAGAGCTTGTTGCTGTCCTCATAGCCCTCCAATCCATAAACCCACAGACACCTATTAAATTCATAACCGACTCTAAATATGTAATCAATGGCCTAACCACTCACCTAACCAGCTGGGAAGACTCTGGGTGGATAGGCATATCCAATGCCCCCTTGTTCAAGGCGATAGCCTACCATCTACGAAGACGACCAACCCCCACAACTTTCAAATGGGTAAAAGGCCATAGTGGTGTCGAAGGCAATGAAAAGGCTGACCAACTAGCGCAAATAGGAGCAACAAAAGTGGACATCGATACCATAGACCTATATGTACCAAGAAATTTTGACATACAAGGCGCCAAACTGTCACAGATCACACAATGATTAGTGTACCGAAAACTTATGGTGGACACACACCTAGATTATAACAGGCAAACCCTTGGCCTACTAAGTATGACAAGAGTCACCATAGAAACCATAACAAACACACTCGAAACAGATGAAACAATATGGAAAAGCTGCAGACATAAGGACATCACAAAAAAGATACAAATGTTCATCTATAAAACATTAAACAACACATATAAAATAGGAGAGTTCTGGCTACAAATACCTACCTTTGAACAAAGGGCTAGATGCAGCACCTGTGAAGAACCCTCAGAGTCAATGGAACATATCCTCATTCACTGCAACAACCTAGAACAAAAGAAAATATGGAGCCTGACAAGAAAAATATGGCCCAGGAAATATGGACCTTGGCCAGAACCATCAATAGGCCTAATCTTAGGATGTGGTGCGCTATCCCTCCCACAACAACCCCAAAATCAAGATGACGAAAACCAAAACTCCACCAAAAAATCAAAAGGGATATCCCGCCTCCTTAGAATCCTGCTATCAGAGTCAGCCTATCTCATTTGGACGATAAGGTGCAAAAGAGCCATCACAGGACAAACACACACCACAGGAAACATCACTAGAAGATGGATCAACACTATAAACTGATGCTTACAATTAGATCGCGCAATTGCAGCTTGAACAAAAAGATCATCTAAGGCCATCATAATAGTTGCCCAAACTTGGGCTGACATAATCGAGATAAATACAAACAACACAACAGACCAAAATAATGACAAATGGGTGGCAACCCTAGAGGTTTTAGTGGGTATTAAACTACCCAGGCCCTCGCAGACCGAGGACACCAGGTAGTATACAGAGCCCCACACTACTCCACGACACGGAGTGTGCATAAGTAGCATTTTCCCTCGGATGGCGCCGGCGCGCCACTATAAGCGTTTTACGTAAGGGCTAGACAGTGTCAGTTGCTTCGTAATAGACTCGCTTTTCCAAAAAAAAAAAAAGGTTCGTACTGCTTCCGACGCTTGCGCAAAGACCTAATTCTAGTTCTCCGCTCGTGCCTCGTTACGTAATAGAGTAACAAACTCCCCTGATTTCCCGATAAGGAAATCATTTAACATTACCCACGAAGCCACACAGAATTTGATTTGCGATAATCTATGCACGCACCATGGCCTCAAATTCAAGATCATTCGTGTTAGCTTCCCGAGCATCCAAACTCGCACAGATCCAAACGAACATAGTCAGAGATGGCCTCGAGGCTGCATTTCCGGCCCTTTCATTTGGCACGTCATTTATGTCGACCGAGGGCGACAAGAACCAATCCCAAGCCTTATATCTACTCGGAGGGAAGGCGCTATGGACAAAAGAACTCGAGGTTGTGTTGAAAGAGAATGTGGTTGATATGCTGGTGCATAGTTTGAAGGATGTGCCCACGACCCTACCGCACGGCTGCGAACTTGGAGCGATATTGGAGAGAGAGAACCCTGTTGATAGTCTTGTGGTGAAGCAGGGCTTGCCTTACAAGACTTTGGAAGATCTGCCGGAAGGGAGTGTCGTGGGTACGAGCAGTGTTCGGAGAGTTGCGCAGTTGCGGAGGTCTTTCCCTGGCTTGGTGTTCCTAGACGTCGTACGTTTTCGTAGCCCATAAACACGCCGCATGTGCTAACATGTTTGCAGCGAGGAAATTTGTAAGGCCATATCTTTATTTTCAAGCTAAGCTTATTATCAACCCCAGAAACACCCGTCTTGCGAAGCTCGATGCCCCCGATGGTCCTTATACGGCGCTCATACTGGCTAAAGCCGGTCTCGTACGGCTAGGGATGGGAGATCGTGTCACGACGGATCTCACTGCACCAATCCTATTCCACGCTGTCTCTCAAGGCGCTTTAGGAGTCGAGATCCGCGCAGACGATCAGGAAGCACGGGAATTGTGCAAAATGCTAACCCACCAGGAAACACAGTGGAAGTGCCTCGCAGAGAGGGCATTACTGAGAGAACTGGAAGGTGGATGTAGCGTTCCTGTTGGCGTCTCTACGTCGCTATCGCAGATTGATAAAAGCGCTGGGGAATTGACGCGCGCAACCCTCACGATAACGGGTTGCGTCACATCACTTGATGGTTCTTTGCACGTCCAAGATACCCTTTCGCAGGAAGTTGAGAGCATACAGGGTGCGGAGGAGCTGGGTAGAAATCTTGCGATAAAATTGATGTCGAACGGTGCCAAGGCAATATTGGACGACATCACCCAAGATAGACGGAAGAAGGCTAGTGAAGCAGAGACAGCAGAATAGACAGGGAGTTGTGGCATGTTGGCAAATGCGAACTTGGGAAACGAGGAAATAATCGTATGCGGAAAGGGTAGGGCTACTAGTAGGCCTTGTATATGGACACAAAGTGTACTAGTAGTACGGAGATGTAATCAAAATGTACCAGTTAAAGTGCACAAAGCACGAAATTGCACACCCAAACCAGAGTACAGACTCTTAGGCTATAGAGATCTCATTCCCTGGTCGGTTTTATGTATGATTACATGCTTCTATCATTGGATCTGCCATACATCCAAAAAATGCCAGATCCCCCTTCTCGCTCTTCTACCTGTTCTCCTCCCCTCCCATAGTGATGTATGGCGTGCCCCAGAACACACAGAGAAGGCCCAGCGATCCTAACAGCCAGTTAGATCAAGAAACTCAAAGGCGGCAGTAGCGACACGAACCGTTTACAGCGAATCACTCTCGCTCGCACCCCAACCTAATCAAAGGGGTACCAACAACTGATTAGCAGCCTTTTGCAACACGAACCATCCTTGACACCACTGACATCGCGTGATCACATCTTGTACAGGAAATTGACGGGTTGTCGTGGATGCAGTTGAGGGTAGCAGAGTACACATGGAGAGCTGGGAGTGATTGTAAGACCTATTAGATATTTTTGAAAACATCAGACGTTTGACTCACCAAATTATAGAGCAGCTTCCGCGGTGTCAGGGAGGGAGCTTGGGATGAAGTTGAGTGTGCATCTGACGGACGCGGTTTCGAGCGAGGAAAGACTCGGGCTAGTCGTGATGACAGTCTGAATAGAATCTGTTCAGGACTGACATCAAATATCCCAAACACGACTTGCAGTCGTGTTTGTGTCCACTTAGCAAGTACGTTTTACTTTGGGACCGCCAAGTAATTCTGCTCCAGTCAATGTCCAACTAAGAAGTTATTTCCGCAGTGATTGCAATTGAGATGATGTATATTTTATGTAGTGTACAAAATGTACTTGTCGACAATCCGAAGTGTCTCTTGCAGTTCAAGTACGCAAGATCATGAGGACGATGAACCAGCAATCCTGAAGAGCAAGAAGAATCATCTACCTTCCTGCGAGCGCCTGCAAATCCCTGGACAATTTCGAGCAGCAGGTGACTCTAAAGCTGGAAGGAGTCAAAGACATTAAAGAGCAAAAAAAATCGCAGAGCATTCTTATGGGAGGCGTTTCTTTGTGTTTGTTTACATCGTTCCCGATCTGGACCGGTGACCGTTTAATTCTCAGTTAACCGGTAAAGGACACATATCCTAGGCTTGGATTCGAACTGGCATGACCTCAATCTCGTCTCGTCGTTTGCGCAAAGAACTCAGTGAAATACAAACAGAAGGATGTCCCACAGGTACGTCCTCTCACGTATTATACGTGCAGCTAACCGACCCCGCCGTTGACTACAGGCATCACACTACTCAGCGCTGACAACTTTGAGACGTGGTACTTCTCCATAGAAATTCTGGGGGAAAGTTTATACCAGGTCTGATAGGAGGTTCACTTTTGTGGCTTATGGGTCCTTACAAAAATATGGTCAGGGGGAGGTATTCAAGCTCATGTTTCGCTTTGACCCAAGCTACCCTATCTCGGCGCCTGCGGTCCAGTTCGTCGTCAACCAGGAATCAACGGCACCTGTGCATCCGGTGTGTATATATATAGTTGGAGCTTGCCATGATGACTGACCGTTGATCAGCATGTATACTCCAATGGACATGTGAGTTCGATACATGCCGAACTCGGCGCGCTGTGATACGTCTGATACGTCGTAGATCTGTGCTTCTATCCTTGGAACTGAATGGTCACCAGTTCTGAGTGTTTCTGCTGTGTGTGTAACCCTGCAGAGCATGCTTGCATCGTGTAAAGTGAGTTTCTCCTCGCTATCCGCGATACAGCCGCTCTAGAAACACGATTATCATATGTTACAGTCGAAGGAACGGTGAGCTTCCATCTCATCTAATGTCATTTTTCATTTATAATATGGACCCTGAAGGCCTGTAGATAACGACAGGTACGTTCGGTACGCACCCGATAATCCAAAGAAGGTATGTTTTGGCGCCCAGTCATTCAAGAACCTCTGAACTTTTTCGACATAGACTCGTTTCCACTACGATGGTAAGTGGCTGGTACACTGCATATGTTCGCCGGCTCACGGCATCTATCCTGCGTGTCTGCTTCATCACACCATCAGATGATACGTATGTTTTCATTCCCAGTCATTCATATCCGAATACTGATATTTTGCTTGATGATTAGGGTGTAGTAGTTGTGGTAGTGATTGTTGAATATATCTTGGGCCTAAAGGCAGATGTTGTACTACCAAGGGGATCATCGAGGCAACGCGAGGAGTCATATTCCAGTTCTTTGGGTCTATTCATGGGATTTTTGCTATGAAGTGATGGAGTTTAGACCCCACAGATGACGCTTGTAGACTCCATGATTGTATGCTTGATTTCCACGAGTCCTGCTAAGTCCTACCCGACTTTGATCCGCCTGCTTATCTACGGCGCGCGTGAACTGTAGAAGTCTGTTTCTACCCACGACGTGTAGGTTTATTGGTGAGAAAGACAGCTTGGTAACCTGTGCTGGACATATTTGGAGATAAGTGGATGCCCGCAGGCGGTTGCTCACCTCGATGGAAGTTTATACAGGCTTCACGAAGGGAAACCCCGGCACAATATTAACGTGTACCAGTGATATCAGGATGCTTGCCATTGGATCACAGGTATAAAGCAGCTCAGTGTCCGAAAAGTAAAATATATTATATGCGCTCCGTGAATTACCGGTCAATCACCCCCAGCTCATCAGTCGACGTTAGGAACATATGGCTCTACCAGCATCTTGCTGAACTCCTTCAACTTCTCCGGACCACGGACTTCTTCCGTCAGTAATGGTAGCTGAACAATGTGGAAGAACTCGTCGTAGAGCTCATGGGCCTCGGCAAGATACTTTTGTTGCATCTTTCTTCGTACTTGACAATGCTCGCAGTTGGATGCTAGATTGAAATTAGAATTGTATTACGTGGGGCAGTAGCGAGTACTTGCATGTCTTAGGGAAGAGCAGCTGGTTGACGACGATATTATGCGTGTCGATCTCGTAAGCCGTCAGTTCTTGAACGAGACGCTCCGTCTCGTACAAGGACAGGAACTCGGAAATGCAAACGCAAACGAAAGTGGTCTTTTCCTGAAAATAATATGAGTTGAGATAGTTCCGGTATGTTCAATGATGAGGCGTACAGGGTCTTTGAATTGCGTGTTGACTTCGTTAATCACAGCGCGCATAGACTCTAGCTTTGCAAACATATCCTCCTGAGAATCCTGCTGACCGCCCATCATACTCGACATTTGTCTGATCATGGGCCCAAATTGACCACTGAGCGTGCTGAGTTTGCCCAGAGCCTTCTCCAGTACAGTGGGAAACGAAAGGAAACGCAGGGTATGACCTGTCGGTGCGGTATCAAACACGATGACTGAATATTCCATCGACTTGACGTGTCTGTGAGGACATTGTCTCGTCAATCCACGGAAGTCGAAAGTTAGATGACGAACTTCATGATCTCAGCAAAACTCATTGCCTCGTCAACACCAGGAATAGCGAATGCAAGATCCTGCATCATCGAGCCCATCATACCGTTTGAGTCGGCTGGGGTTGCGAAGTGTCAGCGGGACAAGACTCGTAGTATTGTGAGATGTCAACGCGTACATTGCTCGACCATCTCCTGGATTGCACTTGTAGGATCGATTTCCATAGCGGACAGGTTATCGAATCCATTGACCTTTGTCGCGTCTTTCGAGAACTTCTGTCCGAAAGCATCCGACAGATTATGTGCTGGATCGGTGGACTAAAGCTGAGGGTGGACATCGGCCTCTGAGACCGTAGATGTAACCACGTACGATGAGTAGCACCGATTCTCGGCACTGAGCGAGTTGAATGGCTAGCGAACACGAGGTGGTTGTTTTCCCTGTACGTATGGATCAAGTTTTTAATAGTTTAGACTCAAGAGGCCACGTACCGACACCACCCTTACCACCTGCATCCCATCCGAGTCAACCCCAGAGTGAGCTGAGCAAGCAGCTGGATAGTAAAGCACATACCGCAGAATATCCATTTCAATGACTTTTGATCCAGAACATTCTGCAGAGTTGGTGGTAATAATTCTTCTGCCATTTGAGATGTTCGAAAGTCGTAAAGAAGGTGAAGCTTGTTGCGCGTCTTCAAAGTTCAAGTACTGTGAAACCGTGATCAAGCCGCGTTTGGACTAGCAGCCTCTTTCAGCTTCTACATCCTACTGCGACATTCTACACATCACTAGAATAAAATTGCAGAGTACGTGTCCAGCCCCCACTCTGGTCACTATGTCGGAAAACAAATTATCATTCAGAGGTTGGTTACTGCAGACTTATCGGTGTGAAACAGGCTCATATCCATTCCCAACAGCTTTACAACTAGCCAACGAACAACGGACTGCTTATGGTCTCCGGTATAATGATTTCACGCGATACAGGAAGCACTGCGCCAATAGGACGCATCGTCTCGGTCCACCCTCAAAATGACCCATGGCAAGGGGCGAGAATTCAAGAAACTGTCTCCCTTAAGCACAGATAGCGTCAAGGATGGACAGTGCGTACTACATTACATTTCACACATCAAGAATTAATGAATCTCGGATAGCTTAGAACTTCTACTCTTCGAGTCAGAACGTGCCTGGGCTTACTCTCAAGATCTCGTTACCCAATCTCTTCAGCCAGCTAATGAAGATCAAGCTGGAACCCTGCGTCATAGTGCTACAGGACGCTTCCGCCGTGCAGTACACTGGTCGACGCAACTTCTATCGCACTGTCAATCTTTATATGCATCTTCACGCCTTTCCGCAGAAGGGCTGATGCAAATTACCATCTACACTCTGATCCTCAATGGTCGCTTCCTGCGATACCGGGACAACTTTGAGGATGCGGTGATCCAGCTTAGCGTTGCAAGGCACCTTCTTGACGAACTCGCTGATCGTGCTGCGACAAGCAGGGATCAGGCTCTCGCAACGGTGTTTGCAGATGAAATCGGCCCCGAAATAAGGTATTGTGCGCATGAACTTGGAAGGGAGAGGGCATACGATGTGGATGCGATCGCTGCTGGGTTGTCGAAGAAGCATCGAGGGGAGATCGTCGAGGGGTGTGATGCTCTGATTCAAAAGTTTAGGCAGGAGGGAGAGGTGTCTGAGATAGGTGAAGGGAGGAAAAAGTTGGCGACTTTGATGTGGGAAGGCCAGCCAGTGCCAGTGCGCAATCCAGAGTTGGTGGATGTATTGCTGCGGGTGCAGGAGGCAGAGGCGAAGATTACGCAATCGCGTGAGCCTGCTCGGGCAGAGGTTGCTAGCGGTAAGGGGAGGAAAGGCAAGTCGGGCGGTCATGGGTCCAAGAAGGGCGTTGCCGCATATGATGCTATTCTCCTTGCTCTCAGCGATGCGGAAGAATTGGCCAGGAAACTGGTTGAAGCGCATCAGGTGTGCCGTCACCTTCGTCGATTTGTATTTATCGCTAATCAACTCGACAGAATTCTGGAAGTTCATCTACCTCTGCAGCCGGCACGCGTGATATCCACTTTGTTCATGCTTACATCGTCTACCAATTGCTCTCTCGCCGGATCCAGCGTGATCTCCTTCTAGTCTCCGCTCTCCTCACCTCGCATCGACCACAGGCTTCTGCAAAACCAAAGAAAGAGCATGTCGACGCCCGACTTTATCCTGCAGTGGTCAAGCTCCTGGACACTGTCATCCAAAGTCTTGCCCAGATGCGCAACTTGAGCATCGTGGACGAAAGTCCTGACCTAGCGTCTGCTGTCGAGGCCCGTCTTACATTCACCAAAGCCCGCAGGTAAAGATCAACTTCTTCTGCATTAACTCCATGCGCTGACAGTGTTTCAAGATGTTCTTATCTCGCGCAGTGCTATGTAGCCGTGAAAAAATACGCTGAAGCTCTCTCATTGATCCAACATGCAACCATCTATCTCCGTGAAACGCGTTCTACGTTGTCCATCTTCTCAGAAGACCCTATCTCTTCTGGATCACCCCCTTACTATCCACTCACGTCTTCCGATCTCGATGCTCTGGAATCCACCATCACTCAAGACAGCCTGACGATCAAAAACGAATGGTTCGCATACAACGGCGGCTCCGTCGACGCAGACAACAAGACATACAAGAAACCGTTGTTTTTCGATGTCGCGTTAAACTATGTGCAGCTGGATATGGATAGATTGCAGGAGAGAGCTGGGAAGGTATCTGCACCGGCGCTTGTTCCCGTGCAAGCTGTGCCTGCGAAATCACGTTTGGAGGAGGTGGCGAGACCGAAAACACCAGAACCACAGGCGCCTGCGAAGGGTGGACTTAGTAGTTTGCTCGAGGGGTGGTGGGGACGGAAGTGAGGTACGACAAATTAAAATTTTATCAAGGCATTAAGCAAATAGTCAAGTACAGTAAAACATACACAGACCAAATGGGTAGTGGTCTAACAGCTATATCAGAAAGAAGCTTCACAATCACTGGGTGATGAACTAAGATACAAAGGGCTTATCAGGTGACGTTCATCAACAGCTAGAGTCAACTTACTGCTTCAGATGCAGACTCAGAAAATTCAGAATGACCCCCCAGTTTCTTTGCCTCGGGCTCACTGATGAGACTGAGGTTGCGCCCAAGCTTTTGTACCTCCTGCCAGAACTCAGAGTTTCCGGCCTCCTTGAGACACGATTCCTTCAAGTCCTTAAGGAAACTGGTAACAATGAGCATTTGAGCGCCTAGGCGATTCGAATACTTACGCATTCCAAGCATCAATCTCATCCTCTTTCAAAGACGTATCCCGCATAGCGATCATACACTCAATCATTTCCTTATGCCGCCTCGATGCGAACGGCCTCAACACCACCTCTTTAATGATGACGCCCATATCTTCCACAGCCTTCGTCACCACGTCTCCTTGTGCAAGGTTTGTCTTGAAATCGCGCAGAGGGTACGTCGAGCCAATAATACGACCCGGTGCACGACCAGGGTCTACATCAGGCGACATCGAGCGTTCTGGGGTAGGCAGCGCATTGAAGGGCCGCTTGTTGAGCAAGAGTGGCTCCTGGTCTGATTCTTCTTCCGTCTCAGAATCTGAAGCGGCGGATTTCTTGGCTGGACGTGCGAGTTTCGAAGAGACGGGTACTTGGGACGCGGCGGGTTCTTTGCCTTTGCGCGACGCAACTGGTTTTTTGTCGAGGAGGAGCATGTCATCGTCTTCGTCCATGGCGCGGACGTGGCCATCTTTGCGGACTTTTGTAGCTTTCTTGGGTACTGAATGAATGAAATAAGTATGAGGATTGAGTGAATTATGAAATGGAAGGTAATTAAGCGCGTACCTTCTTTAACTTTGAACACTGCTTTGCACTCTGCGATTGCGTCTTTGCTAGCTTTGAGGGCCCACTGGGGAGGGTTGACGTATTTGAGGAGTTCGGGATGGGGTGGGGGAAGGGGGTTGCTGGTAATGTCATTCACGACTGCGCTGTGGAAGAGCGCCTGCTTCGTGCGATGGATAGCGGGGTTGTACGATTGTTGGGTGTCGTACCATGGAACTGGCTTCCTGTTTAATAACTGGCTCAGCACAACAAAGCAAGCTTCTGGTGAATTGAAAACGCACCCTTCATCGTCTTTCTCCCCTGAATCCATGATGTCCATGGAGTCAATAAATTTACCCATGGCTTCGAGTTGATCTTCTGTGGGGAGGTAAGGGTGCCTTGTGATTGATTCGCCGTTTTTTGAGACAAGGTTCTCGAGGGAGGCGAAGGTGTATTTCCGGACGTCGTCTGCGAAGGGCATCTATCATACCCCAATTTACTTCAGGTTGAGGGTAGGGAACGACAGAGTGAGACGTACTTGCACCCACAGCAGAAAATCGATTTTTGGATCAACGTGTGCCTCTAAAACACCCATCTTTGGGTCCATACCGTCCTTAGAGACCCAGCGCGCAATAGCAAGGACGCCTTTCTCATACATGGCTTGTACGATAGACGAGAGCGCGACCTGCTGCTGTGGTGCACCGGGGTCTGCCCATATGTATTGGACTTCACCCATCGCTAGCTCTCGGCGGAACTGTGTCTGCATGAGCTACGCACATGGGAATAAAGAGGTAGGCGTACGTTCTTTGCATGGAAAAATCCGCAAATGTCGATGCCTTTTCTTGTGTTCAAGCGCCGGAACTGCCCATCAGGGCACGGAGCGTACGTGGAGCCGTATTTGAAGCCCCTGATCAGCTGTTCCTTCTCCACCTTTTCGAGGTTCTTGTCCTTGTCTTCCTCATCATCACTGCCCGTATCCATCTTGTCCTGTTCTTCTCCATCCTGGGTCGAGCGATCGATGTAGTACTCGCTACGCATCTTCAGCTGCGCAAACACCGTCATTTCTTCCTCTTCATCGACTTGCATTTGTTCTTCAGTTTTTTCGCGTCGGCCGAATTTCTTCCAGCTCTTGGGGCGTGCGAGGGCTGTGCATTTGCTGGCTTTGACGAGGATTTCAACGGCCTCTTCAGGTCGCACGTCGACATCGCCGAGGCGGAGAACGGTGCCCATAAGGGCGGATTTGGTTTGTTTCATGTCTGGTCTGGTGATTTCTTGGAGAGCAAAAACACAAGTTCCGACCAGGCCGTCATCAAGGGCTGAGGTGAGCTTGTGGTAAAATGCTTCATTTTCGACCTGATAAGAAAGGAAATTAGATCTGAAAAGATGGATGTGAGGGAATGTACCTTGATGGTAGACTTGTCCTCCTCGTGGAAAGGGAATTCGTCGTCATCAAAGTCAACACCGCTGATGAAGTACAAATCAGGACACGAACAAAGAATTGAACGAGTAACTTACATGACAGTGAGAGATATAGCAACGGAATTCATTTTTTTAACAGTCGCCTCCCAGTCCTCGATTTCCATGGGACTCTGGCCATCTGTCACGATGACGATTTTACGCGTCCATGTGCGCTTCTTGTTGAGGTAGATGTCTTGTGTTTCGATGCCGACGATGAGGGCGTCGATAGCTGCAGAGAATGAGATGTCAGAGCTCTAAGGAATTAGTGAGTACACACGATCTCCTGAGTTCTCTGAAGGCTGGAGGGCGTCGAGCTTAGCGAGGGTGGTTGAATTGGGATGTGCGATGGGAATGTATTCTGATACGTGTTGATATCCGCCGTTCTTTTCATGAATTATGTTGTTCGTTTCTGAACTATAGTCAGAAAATCGTGATGCGTATACGAAATGGTGATGCACCTTCGGAGCCAAACAGGATGACTCCGCATCGGTCCGTCTTGCGGCCATTGAAAATCTGCACTGCCATGAGTTGATAAGAGCAAGTCTCTGTTTAGTCGACGTACCATTTCTTGGATCTTGAGCTTTACGAATTGCAATGCCCATTCGAGGTTGGTCATCTCTGTGGTGCGCTGCTCCCCGTTGGGCGTAGGGGGTAATTTTACGGATCTTGTTGCACCCATCGACGGAGAGACGTCGATGAGGAACATTGTTACGGTGTACTGTAGAACATGTTAGAAACAAGATTACAACGAAAGAAGAAGCATACTCCTGCACGTTCAGCTGGCATGGTGGTGGTAAAGAGCAACACGTCGGTCAATGAGAAACGCGTCAATTAGGGATTGGGCACGTGACCGTCGTGACTTGCTGACAACGGGCTGCGCAAAAACTATTTCCCACGACGTTCCTTCTTTTGTTTTGACTCTTGAGGAGGAGCCGAGAGGCACGTACTAGTAGGCCGGACAAGCCACCCCATGGCCATGCAAGGCCAACTCCTGATACAGCCTGGTCACCAACAAAATTCATTCACTAATAATCAACAGATGCAGTCTGCAATGAATCAACAGCAGCAGCAGTTATCGCCTGCTCAGCAGCGTCAAGCACATATGCAACGTTATAATATGATTATTCAGGTCAGTCTTAATCTACTACAGAGATTGACATGTCTTTACCACTTTTCAGCGCATTAAAGAACTCAAGCAATCAGGCGCCACAATGGAGACCTCCCCTGAACTTGCACAGCTTGTCAAGCAAGTTAATGTCTATTCACAAGGAGCTCAACAACAAATGAGTCAGTCTCTTCAAATATTCTAAGGAGGTTAAACTCATGACCTTTAGGTAAACAATCGCACCCAGATCAGCCACAGTCAAACGGCCACCAACCTCAATCATCTCATTCCACTGATGGTCTCATCAATGGCGTTGCTGTCAACGGTCACTCTGCACCACAGTCTGTTCCAGTCCCCCCCATTACCCCCGTATCATTCACTCCAGATCAAATATCCGCTCTACGCGCTCAGATAATGGCCTACAGACTTGTCACCCGCGGTTCCCCCATCCCAGACCACCTACAGCATGCAATTCGCGTTCCCAACACCGCCGTCCCAGATCTCGAAAATCTTCTGCAGGGCCCAGATGTGTCCTCCCGTATAGTTGACAGCGCTGCTAAAATACAGAAAGGCCAAATTGCCCCCCCACCCCCACCCACCGAAACACCTGTGCCAGTTGAAGTCATAAAAGAAGAAGAGCATGGTCCTTCCATCGACCCTGCTGATCTTCCCAAAGGTCCTTTCCTCGAAGAAGCAGTCAACTCCGGCGTGTACCCATATAACGCATTCAAGCTCCCCTTCTCCCACCTCGAGCGCCCACCCAACGTTGACCCAACTATGGTCGCAACGCGCCTCCAGCGCCTCCTCATCCCCTCCATAATGCCTGCAGGGCTCGACGTGCACCAGATCATCAACGAGCGCGATCGCTTCATCGAAGCACGCGTCCAACAGCGCATTAAAGAACTCGAGGAGATTCCAGCCACCATTGGCGATGGTAACTTTGATTCTCTGGCGGACGTTATCCTCGGTTCGCATAAGCAAGAGCCCGCCAACGACAATTCAGCGCTGTCCCCACATGGGAAGCTACGTGCAATGATTGAGCTCAAGTCCCTCAAGGTGCTTGAGAAGCAACGCGCCATGCGCGCGATTGTTGCGGAGCGCCTGATCCAAGGCACCCTGCTCCCGCTCAACCGCGTGGACTTTAGGCGAGCCCGCAAGCCTACACTCAGAGATGCACGCATGACTGAGCAGGCGGAACGCAAGCAACGTATCGACCGCGAGAGGCGTGCAAAACACAAACACGTTGAACAGCTCGGCGTCATCTGCCAACACGGACGAGACATCATCGCTGTGAACCGTTCTGCGCAGGAGCGGGTCGCGAAGCTTGGGCGTGCCGTGTTGTCGTTCCATGCGTTCACTGAGAAGGAGGAGCAGAAGCGTATCGAGAGGATATCGAAGGAGCGTTTGAAGGCGCTCAAGGCGGATGATGAGGAGGCGTATATGAAGCTTATTGATACAGCAAAGGATACGCGCATCACCCATTTGCTGCGGCAGACGGACGCCTATCTCGATTCGCTTGCGCAGGCTGTCGTGGCGCAGCAGAATGAGTCTGGTCCCTTGGATACGAACTTTGACCAAGAGGAAGGCCCCGCAAACGAGGCCACGTTTGGCGCCCAGGTCAGTGCTGATGCCCAGGATGACAAGGGCAAGGTGGACTACTACGCTGTTGCGCATCGCATTTCGGAGAAGGTCATGAAGCAGCCTAGTATTCTTATCGGTGGTCAGCTCAAGGACTACCAGCTCAAGGGCTTGCAATGGATGGTCAGTCTTTACAACAACAAGCTCAATGGTATCCTTGCAGACGAGATGGTGAGCAGCCACATTTGGGTTCTTTATATCGTATCTCACACTAGCGTAGGGTCTTGGTAAAACCATCCAAACAATCTCGCTGGTCACCTTCTTAATCGAGGTCAAGAGACAACGCGGTCCTTATCTCGTCATCGTGCCTCTATCAACAATGACGAACTGGTCCGGCGAATTCGCGAAGTGGGCGCCAACGGTGAAAATGATCTCGTACAAGGGTAACCCTGCGCAACGTCGCAACCTCCAAGGCGAACTGCGGATGGGCCAGTTCCAGGTTCTGCTCACTACATATGAATACATCATCAAGGATCGGCCTATCCTCAGTAAACTCAAATGGGTGCATATGATCATCGGTGAGTGGAATTGAGCAATTTGTCGGTACTTGGTTGCTCATCTTCGGTATTAGACGAGGGACATCGCATGAAGAACACCCAATCGAAACTTGCGCAGACGCTCACGCAATACTATCATTCCCGCTACCGCCTCATCCTCACCGGTACCCCCCTTCAGAACAACCTTCCTGAACTTTGGGCCCTCCTCAACTTCGTCCTACCCAAGATCTTCAACTCCGTAAAGTCATTTGACGAGTGGTTCAACACGCCATTCGCGAACTCGGGTACAGGGGACAAGATCGAGTTGAACGAAGAAGAGGCTCTGCTCATCATCCGGCGGTTGCATAAGGTGTTGCGGCCGTTCTTGTTGAGAAGGTTGAAGAAAGACGTGGAGAGCGAACTTCCAGATAAGGTGGAGAAGGTGATCAAGGTCCGCATGAGTGCCCTGCAGAGTCAGCTGTATAGGCAGATGAAGAAGCACAAGATGATCGCCAATGGGAAGGATGCAAAGGGGTACGTTTTTGGCTTTTGGCGGAGTGGGCGGGATGTAGTACTGATCTTTGACTTGTTAGCAAATCTGGAGGGGTGAAAGGTCTGAGCAACGAGCTCATGCAGCTGCGCAAGATCTGTCAACATCCGTTCTTGTTCGAGAGTGTCGAGGACAAGGTCAATCCTACCGGCCTCATCGACGATAAATTGGTCAGGTCAGCTGGCAAACTCGAGCTTTTGTCGCGTATCCTTCCCAAGTTCTTCGCAACGGGTCACAGGGTGCGTCGCTTTCTACGACTGTTCGAGCTGTGCTGATCATTGTTTCTACCAGGTCCTTATTTTCTTCCAAATGACGAAGGTCATGGACATTATGGAAGATTTCTTGAAGATGATGAATTGGAAGTATCTCCGTCTTGACGGTGGTACGAAGACGGACGAGCGTGCCTTGCATGTACAGCAGTTTAATGCAAAGGATTCGGAGATTAAAGTTTTCATCCTGTCAACACGGGCTGGTGGTTTGGGTCTCAATTTGCAGACTGCGGATACGGTCATCATGTGTGTTATCTCTTGCCGTCGCGTTGTTCTCTATGCTGACGCGTAGGTTTGCAGCTTCGATAGCGACTGGTGAATAAGCTTCTGGCTATCGGTTGGGTAGACATGCTGATACTAATGTCTCAGGAATCCCCACGCTGATCTTCAGGCTCAAGATCGTGCTCACCGTATCGGCCAGACCAAGGCTGTCCGCATCCTCCGTTTCATCACGGAAAAGAGTGTCGAAGAAGCCATGTATGCTCGCGCGCGGTACAAGCTCGATATCGACGACAAGGTTATCCAAGCTGGTCGTTTCGACAATAAGTCGACGCAGGAAGAGCAAGAAGAATTCTTGGTAGGTGTTACAGCACCTCTTTCCCAAATAACGGCTGGCTAAATGAATGATATGCAGCGGTCTATCCTCGAAGCAGACCAAGAGGAGGAAAATGAAGAAGCTGGTGACATGAATGACGATGAGCTTAACGAAATGTTGGCAAGAAATGATGAGGAGGTTGAGATCTTCCGCTTAATGGATCTTCAGCGAGAACGGGACGCGTTGGACGCATGGCGTGCGGTCGGCAACAGGGGGAAACCGCCGTTGCCGCTCATGCAGCTTGAAGAGCTGCCTGAGTGCTATCAGACAGATGAACCGTTCGAGCCGAAGGAGATTGATGATGCTATCGAAGGCCGTGGTCAGCGTCGTCGTAATGTCGTAAATTATAACGACGGTCTTAGCGATGAACAGTGGGCGATGGTACGTCTTGTAGGATGTCGCGATGCATGCATACTGATTGGAATTTAGGCTGTGGAGGACGGAGAGGATTTGCAAGAACTCGTTGATCGTGCCCGTGGCAAGAAAGAACGACGGGCTGCCAACAAGCTTCTCAAGGACACCGATACACCTGGTCGTAATACTCCAACATCAGACGTGGGTGTCGGGCGCAAGGGAAAGAAGGGCAAGGGGAAGATGACTGCTAACGACTACGACACACCTGGCGTGGCTGGCAAGCGGAAACGTGGGATGAAGTCTATGTCTGTGACGCCTTCGGTGATCGACGATGACGACGAAGAGCGTGACATGGTGAGCTGATTCTGAGTGTTTCTTTTGAACGTTTTCTGATGATGTCGGCGACATCCAGAAACGACGAAAAACTAAGGCGGGCGACCTATCGCCTGCAATACGGGATAAGATGAAGAAGGCTTTTAATGAGGTTCTCAGAGCGGTTCTCGCTTGTGAAGACAAAGATGGCCGGAAACGCTGTCAACTTTTCCGGGAGCTCCCCGACAGGAGAGTGAGTAGAAGACGTCCGGTTTCATGCTACACGGACATACTGACGATATAATCAGGATTATCCGGATTATTATCAGTTAATCACGCATCCGATTGCCTTGTCCACACTTCGAAAGCGGGGTAACACTGGATATTACAAGAGTATCATGCACTACAAAGAGGACTGGAAGCTCATGTTCGACAACGCACGAACGTATAATCAGGAGGGCTCGTGGGTATACATAGACGCTGAGGAGATGGAAAAGGTGTTCCACGACACTTTGGAGAGAGTCACTGCTGGGACGGGGCTACCCGGGGCCTCACCAGCTCTAAGTGGACCGTCAAGCTCTGCAGCATATGACTCGGCGCTTACGCCTATGGACGAGGATGAGCGGCCGCAGCGGGGCAGGGCTCGGAGTGCTGGTCGCAAACAGGTGATCAGCGATGACGAATACCTGACGCCAAGTGATGAGGACTAGATATTTCTTTACAGCATTCTTGATCTGCGTTTTCGTTTTGTTCTTTCCTCGTTTTTATGATAGCATCGATTTTGGAGTATATGTATTGGTACACTATCACCACATTGATCTATAAGACAACTTGAATGGTCACAAAGTGCGAAGGACGAAGCCTATTCTTAACATCGATGATTTAGTCGATGATGATTTGAACCCTTCATAGGAAGCTTCAGGAACATATCGTTGTGGGAAGGCGATATCATCGATTCATGATATGATGCACGTCCCTTAGGCATCACCGATTGTGTGCTAACCCTAACTTCCTAGTCTGTTATGGTAACCCTACAGCGCGCGGTCAAAATTGACTGCGGAGGATGGAGATCATCTGCTTCATTGTCAATATTGTTGTTGTAGGCTTCAGTCTGAGCACAAAATATGATTTGAGTATGATTCATGTTCGTCTCACCGAAAGGAACGTTTTTCTGAGGGGAAATAAAATTCTGACATTTTTTCTTGCAAGGTGGTAGGACATCAGCGCAAAATTGGTGTAGCCTAAGTGGCGTGCTCCATAGAATGCATTCACTTCAGCGTTGCGGCCCGCGAGTTCAAGTTGTCAAGCAATTAACTTATGATACAGCGAGAATTTGTCACTCATGCACATGGACTCCATGCAGAGTCGGATGCGGTACGCGTACTGAGTCGGTCCGCTCAACTTTGACATTCTCCGAGTCGAATTGTGGCTAGAAGTTCCTATCACGGTGCATCAGGAAAACCCTCCCCGTCTAATTATACGACATTATCAATAATCATGCGCTATTATCTCAAAATGCGACAGATTTGAACGATTAGATCCATTAGATCGATTATGTTACCCCCAAATAATTTGGCAGAATTAATCACAATGATTAGCTATTTGAGAACATCCGTTTAATTTTTGACGAGCGGTATTCACAAATTCAATCACCATCAGACAGCATTACACGAAAACAAATTAGTTTTGATTAGAAAATGGTATGTAAAGTTAAAGCACAGCTAGTAAGGACTGAGATGGAGATTTGTATCAATCAGCGCTCTCAACAAATCGCATAGGTACAAAATGAATGTGAGTAGGGAGTAGATTAGCCCGAGTCCTATCCATACTATCAACTCGAAGGTCAAATGGTTCAAAAGCGTTCACCTTGATGTGCTCCCCAGTAACGCCAAAGATTAGTCCTTGTCCTCCTCCATATCATCGAGGTCAAGCAGTTCCAAAGTGTCCAGCTCATTGTGGTCCCCAGCAGCGCTAATCCGACTCAACTTACTGCAAGCCAAGTGACAAATCAGCATCAAGGACTGAGGCAGCACCCCCCAGGCAAAAACTCACTGTGCAGCCTCATAAATGTCTGCTATCATACGATGAAACTTTCCAGGTGCGTTCTCCTTCAACTGTTCCAGGGACTTGACATGGTAGTTGTAAGTTTCGCTGAATTGGTTTCCTGAGAAGTTGAACTTCCCCAGCGAACCGAGAGACTTCCATAAAAGAGCAGAATAAACCTTGAAAAAATTTGAGCTGCACATTCATAGAGTGATTACAAGCACATTACCGCAGTTGCAACCAGTGCCAGCAAGGATATAGGAATTTCAGGATGCTGCGCCTTATTCTTGGCAATTTCAACAAAGTGTGCTGCAAATTTCACACCAACGGCCTTCGAGCTAAGGAAGAGCTGGTTACATATCAAGTATATGAGGAGTTCACCCTGGTAGGGCTTGTTCCTAATAGGCGTAGCATTATTGTTGGTCTGAAAAAAGTCACAAGAATCAGCGTAGCCAGAGCAAATGTAATGCACTCACATTGAACTTCAAAGCATAAGCATAAACAACCTTTTCCATTAGTTTTTTTGCTTTTGCAAAGTCCTTGTGCCCAAGGCAGAAGTAGCCATTGATGTTTGCACAAGCATTGTCTTTCAGCTCATGCCGCAATATAGGGATGCGGGCATCCACCTCATATAATCAAAGATAGTTAGAAACTTCAACTGGATTGACTTGGATACTATGCACCAAATGAACTCACCAGTGCACCAAGCTGTGAAGCATACTGCTCATCCACTTGAAGATGTTCTGTGATTGTGTGCAAGCCATGTTTCTCAGCCATGGTTAACAAAGTTCGCATTGAGAGCTGGTTCTTGTCGACTAATTCAGGGTACCCATGGACAAAGATCAGATAGCACTTGACTTCAGTGATCGCGGCTTGAACAACCTGGCGGGTCTGTGGGTTCTGATCAAGGAGTTTGATTCTTCCCTTCTTGGATCGGATAAGTGAGGCAATACTCTTTGGCGCAGAGGTTTGGGCTTTTCGAGTGATGGCGCCATCATTATCAGAGAAAAATTCTGATTCACCACTGATAGTAGTGGTGCTTTCAACAGACTCTGAAATAGTGTCGCCGACATCATCCCAGGTTGGAATCTAAAGGTGGAATACTATACTAGCAACCAAGAGGGTAGTAATTGAATTGAAGAATTGTTCTCACCTCTGTTGCTTGCTTACGATCACAGGCCGACACTTTGGAGTCCTTTAATACTGTGCCACAAGCTGATCCCTTTGACTTCTGAGACTTCCAGTCATCAGTAATGAGTGATGCAACCTTTGATTGAGTTGTTTCTCATCCTTGTCATAAGTATTACTAATCAGGAACTACTGACCTCGTCCAAAAGCATTGTTGCAGCAGTGTCTAAATCCTCATCCCCACTGATATGGTTTGAGTCACCATCACTGTCACAGGGATCAGTGCCTGAATGGACATTGCGCTGATCGTCATCTGAGTCAACACCACTCTGTTCGTGTTTGCTGGATAGCATCACATTCACATCCTTCATGGAGTAAGTTCAACAGAGTTTACTTGGCCAATAATGGGCCTCCTTGACTGCGCATGCTTAATCTGTAAGATTTCCTTTTCTGCCAGCCCAGGAGAATACTAACCTTTCTTCTTATCTTCACTATCACTAAAACTATCATGTTCAGTGTCTGTGTCCATGCGCTGGCGCTCTGCAGCAATTAAATATGTCAGTAAGTGGCAAGTGATGTTCATCGACTGCATGTACTTAGTGTTGAAGGTTTTCGAGATTTTGATACAGGTGCACGCAAGTCCTTTTGAGGCAGTGCGGCATCTTCTATAAAGTGATGCATGTGGTTAGTATTCAAGTTGCAAACACGTTCCCCAAATGAAATAGGCTTACTAGCAGAAGCTTTTTTCTTCTTTTGCATAGCTGATCCTCTTGCGGCACCCTCAGTTGGTGCTGACTGTCACTTGGGTTTGTCCTGCTTCCAGACTGGGAATTTTTCATGTCAGCTGCAAACTATTAGTTATTCCTAGTGCGCTTCTAACTCACCTGCATTCTCCATAGCCTTTTTCTTTGCTCCACATGGCTCCGAGTCTACCAGTGGGGCCCACATCATGAGCCAGCATCATGGTCACCACTTGTCTGCATAGACACTTACCATGAGGTGTGGTCATTTTTCCTTGATCAGGTGAGACTTGACTAAAATTTGAAAGAAAGACAATGGTACTAAACTTGCTTAAAGAACTAGGGAGTGGAAAACTTGGGATGGGACTACTAGTAGCAGGGAGTGTGATGAATGGTAAGAGTTGAAAAATGAGATTTGAGTTGATGGTATTGAAGTTAAATTTTGTAGTGTTGCTGTGTGCTCAGGTGGGTTAGTACTCAGACACAGTCCATCCCTGAACTTACCTCAGGACCTACTAGCAGCATTGGAAATTGATTCAGGCTCAGCTGTCCATCTCATGGGGTGAGGGGACATGGATATCTTGAGCGCTGTGAGAAATCATCTGGGTCTGCCTCTGGGATGGGTGATGATAACATGAGGTGCGAGGTGATACTTACCCTCTGGGTCTGCCTCTAGATGGGAGATGATAACATGAGGTGCAAGGTGAGTCTTATGTGGAGATGAGCGCTGGGTTCATACTTACCCAAACATTTACCTCAGGACCTCCAGCATCGGAAATTGATTCAGGCTCAGCTGTCTGTTTCAGGAAGCTTTTCTCTCCTCCTCTTGGCGCATTCAGGACCTCCATCAGAAATTGATTCAGGCTCAGCTGTCCATCCTAAAGCTTTTCTCTCCTCCTTTTCACGCATTCCCCACCTCCATCAGAAATTGATTCAGGCTCAGCTGTCCGTCCTAAAGCTTTTCTCTCCTCCTCTTTGCGCATTCCCCCAGCACCCACCTCTCCCCTCACATGCAGATGTGCCCAGCGTGTGGCCATGACAATTTCATGGTCACTGGCCCTAGCCAACATCTTGCAAAAAGCTGCAACTCCTGTTGCCAAGCACTCTACAGGAACTCACGCCGGCCCAACCAAACAAACCCAGATCCTGTAGATGAGTCTGAGCCACCTATTCCTGCATTCCAGGGAGACTATTTTGGAGCTTACAATGAGGACAAGTTGGAGTGGCCTTGCTCTGATCAACACTCTGAGCAGGCTGGTAGCGACTCTGACTCAGATGTTGACAACTTGGATAACAACTTGGATATCGATGATTCCCTATTTGAACCTGAATGGGAGGCACCAATGCTATTGCTACCTGATACCTTTGCCTTTGATGATGCTGACAACACTGAAGTTCATGATGATCATGAGATTCACAATGCTCATCAGGACATTGAGGCACATGCATGAGGCCAGCATGGATTTGTAGCTATGCCTTATCCAGACCCATGTGCTGGCCAAAGGATATCGTCTGAACACTCTGCCAATGTCATGTATGGAGCACAGCTTGCTGATGACAAGAATATGTACTACCCATTCACCTCAAAGACTGAATGGGAGGTTGTGAAATGGGTGAAACTTCATGGTTCAAGTTCTACCACATTTTTGGACTTGCTCTCCATTGACGGAGTGAGCATTTTTCTTGGTTTCATGACAAGTATCTAATTTAATGGCCCCTAATACTAGGTCAGTGAATGCCTAGGACTTTCTTTCAAAAATGCAAATGAACTAAACAAGTTAATTGATTATGAACTTCCAACGGGATGACCAAAATTCAAACAAGAACAAGTTGTCATCACTGGAGAAGCATTTGATGTCTATTACCATGATATCATCAAATGTGTCAAGTCTTTGTATAGTGACCTGGACTTCGCAAGATATCTCACATTTGCCCCAGAGTGGCATTACACTGACGAAGACCAGACAGTTTGTCTATTCCATGACATGCATACTGGTAAGTGGTGGTGGGAAATGCAGGTAAGGACAGCTTGGCACAACACCTACCAGACATTGTAACTTATTATGGTTGTCTAGAAAAAGCTTGATGAACATTGTCCTGGTGGAACCATAGTTCTGATTATTATTTCCTCAGACAAAACACAAGTGACAATGTTTTGCAACAAGACTGCCTACCCCATATATCTTACAATTGGCAACATACCAAAGGAAATCCGGCATAAACCTTCATGTGGCACACATATCCTGCTTGCTTATCTGCCAACAACCTGCCTTGAACACATGACCAACAAAGCATCTTGCTGTCGCACTATTGCAAATTTGTACCATGCATGTTTATGCCGTGTGCTCGCTCTGCTGAAACCTGCTGGATTAGATGGTGTTCTCATGCATAGCGGAGATGGTGCTCTTCATTGTTGTCATCTGTTGTTCACAAGTTTTGTTGGCGACTATCCAGAACAACTCCTGGCCACAGGTATCAAGTTCAGAGAGTGCCCGAAGTGCGACGTCAAAGCCAAGGACACAGGAAGCAACATGGTCCCATTTCACTTGCGAAAACTTGGTGAGGTACTGGATGCACTTGCTGCACTAGACCATGGAAATTTAGCATTTGTGTGTGCATGTGCCACAGCAGGCGTCAGGCCCATCATTCATCCTTTCTGGGAGGATCTCCCTTTTGCAAATATTTTCTGGGCTATCACACCAGATGTGCTGCACCAGCTATATCAAGGCTTGATCAAGCACCTCCTGGGATGGTTATCAGCAGCTTTTGGAGCTGCAGAAATTGACACTTGTTGTCGGTGGCTACCTCCAAACCATCATATCCACATATTCACCAAGGGCATCACATGCTTATCACATGTAAGCGGTGCTGAACATGCGCAGATATGTTGTTTCATCCTTGGCATCATAATTGACATATCCTTGCCCGACAATCTTGATGTGAGTCATCTTCTTCGATCAGTGCAGGGGCTACTCGACTTCCTATATCTTGCCCAATACCCTTGTCACAGCTCAGAGACACTTCACTCACTAGATGAGGCATTAGATCTTTTCCACGAAAACAAGGAGATTTTTATTCAACTTGGTATTTGAAACAATTTCAACTTGCTGAAGTTGCACGCCACACGCCACTACCATCTCATGATCACACTATTTGGTACAACTGACAATTACAATACCGAATATACTGAACACCTTCATATCGATCTAGCAAAAGATGCCTACTGTGCCACCAATCACAAGGATGAGTTTATTCAAATGACGTGCTGGCTTGAACAAAAGGAGAAGATTTTATGGCACCTGAAGTATGTTACTTGGTGTCTTGCTGGTGGCCACCAGTCTGAGCCCTATCATTCACATCCACCTGATATGACTTTCAGACATGAACTAGTCATGACAAGACACCCTAGTGCAAAGGCTGTCAGCATTCAAAAACTTGTTGAAGATTATGGCGCAACTCATTTTCATGAGGCCCTCACATGCTATATCACACGCCACAGTCAAAGCGGCCATCCTGAGCCTCTCCAAGATCAAGCACTTGAAAATTTAGCAGGCAACATTCATTTTCCATTCCAAAGTCTCCCCGTCTTTCATAAGATCAAGTGGTGCTCAATTGATACTGGTGGCCACAGCAAGCAAGGGACATGTAACCTTGGACAGTGTCCATGCAAAACCGCAACAGCGGTCAGGCTCTCGTCTGGTTGCTCACCGGTCTGATACAGCTTTGGTCAGGCTTGGTGAAGACTCAAATACAAATGATCTCAAAGGTGTGTGAACAGGTGCCATTTGGTTGCTAATAACTACTTACCGACTCGTCTAGGTTTCCATGTTGGTCAAGTTTGAGCCATCTTTGCCTTACCACCAAAATCAATACCACTGCTTTTCCCACCAACATTTGACATTCCTCCTCACCTTGCATATATTGAATGGTTTACTCCATTCCCATCCACTCCTGACCGAAATAACGGACTTTACAAACTCTCAAGATCAATGCGCAGCAGTGACAGAGTGGCTAGTGTTGAGCTGGTGGGTGATATTGAGCATAGCGTCCACCTTATACCAAGGTTTGGGGACATAGCCCCACAAGAATGGACGAGTGAGACTGTTCTTGATGACTGCAACACATTCTGGTTGAACTCATATATAGATAGACATATGTACTTTTTCGATATTCCAATGATTCTTGCTAATTTTGAGATAATTGCATCCTGCAGAAAGATTATGATCATCTTCATTCCTAAACATGAGTGATTAGATAGAATTATCCAAATAATGCAATTTAGTAATAATTTTGCAAATTTAGCCCAGGAGGGTTTTCCTGATGTGCAGCAGCCTCGTGCCCTCCAGCTGGGAGCTAGATAAGTGCCTGCTTGCCCTTTCAACTTGACTGCATCCAACCACCATTCAGCGAGCTTTAAATAAAACTGCAACAAATCATCCACTCCATCTCAAACATCCTTTCTAACCATTGATATCTCCGTTGCTCGATCATTTCACAGCTTAAAATGTTTTGACTTCAAATGAAGTTACAGTTTAGACATCAACTCCTCAATTAACGTTGTTGTATGTTGTCCCCTCCTAGATGACTATTACCATCACAATTTCTAATTATACCATTGAACTTAACTAGTGCTTCCCAACTTGTCTCATTCTAACTTGCATTTTGTATCACATTCTATCATCACCCTCTGCCAATAAGTGACTGAGATCAATGTAAATATCTCCTTCCCTTATCAACTCTCTCACTTGCTGACCTAAGTGGAAGTTCCTAGCGAGTTTCTACTAGCAATGGAAGGAACTTGGGAGAAGCTGTCCCAGGTTGCTGTCCTGGGTGCCAAATATGACTCCCCTGAATGCCAGCCCCATCTGAAATGTTTGGAAGGGACCCGGGTGGACATTCTCAAACTGATCCAGGGATTATTGGATGAGCAAAAGAAGTGTCAAATTATTTGGCTGCATGGCATGGCAGGCATCAGAAAGTCTGCTGTGGCATTCACTGTAGCTGAGATGATGAAAGGTTTGAAAATGACAGAGGAGATGAAAATTGAAACAAGGCTTATGGGGATGTTTTTTTTCTTGCACAAGCACATGAACTGCAGCACGACCGGTCATTTCTTTGCAGCCCTTGCTTACCAGCTTGCAACCAATTTTCCTAGCATCCAGAAGGATGTGAACAGAGCTATCCACAAGAATCCTGTGATTCTAAACCCCAACAACTCTCTTCGCAACCAGATGAAGATGTTATTTCACCAACCTCTCTGTCAGCTGGAATCCAGGCTGTGTGAGTGTCTGCCTCTGGTGTTTGTTATTGATGCCCTCAATGAATGTGAACCTGAAACCATCACTGATCTGATCTCCCTCCTTGGCGAAGCTCTTCATGATCCTGAGCTTCCCATGTTCCACATTCTGCTCACAAGTCACTTGGAAGAGCATATCTGTAAAGCCATTCAAAAAGAAGAGATGCATACACTGGTGTATGAGATACTGGTAAACACTTCTGGGGAGGGCGTTGCTGGCACCATTTCATTAGATGGTGAAGATGTTGACAATGACATCTATATCTTCTTGCAGCATTCCTTCACAGAGTTGTGGGGTTGCCATCCTGATTTCCCACAGCCCACCACAAATAAACTTACATGGCTGGCGAACAGAGCTGGCAGACATTTCACTGTGGCATCTACAATGATGAAGTTTGTTGATGATGGATATAATGACCCATGGGATTGCCTTGAGCTAATGCTCAAGCTAACCAATGAACTGCTACCTGGGACAGAAGTGTACAAGTTATACAACCATATCCTTGACACTTGTTTGGATCCCAGCCGAGCATACCACCACTTGTCCATCGTTGCTGCCCTTGCAGACCCCCTGCTAATCTCACAGATTTCGAAGCTTCTTGGCTCTGGTCAAGGCAGTGATGTTGCAACTGCACTGGTACAGCTACAGTCTTTCATGTATATTCCCACCAACAGCAGCCAGCCCATTGTGGGAAACACAACAAGAAGAGAACTGGAAAGTAGACTTCTAATGTTGGGCTAAATGTGCTATGCCTAGCTGCTATTCAACCCTAAAGGGTTTCTGGACTAGACTCAGTGCTCAGAGAGAGTAGGAAATCATGCTAATAACTCTCAGTCTCAGACTGGTGCTGGTAGGTGGTGAAAACTATGACGATTACATAAGCACCAAAAGTGCGAACATAACACTAAGCAATATCTGCCTATACAAGCCCACAGAATATGAAATCCCTACACTGTGAATATCTACCACTCATCCATTCAGGATTATGTTTCAGACTTCTCAAACTGCAGCCTCTTTGGATTACAACCCATCACAGCATCACATTCCCTACTTGCTTATTCCCCTTTCCACTTGATGATCCACAACATTCCAGAATGCCCTGCTCTCATGGATGCGCTCTTAGAATTGAAGTTGCACAATCAGGCTATGGAACCCCATGACCCCTGGCACTTGCAACAAACATTAGCCTTTGTCATTGAGCCACCAGAGCCACTGAATATTCTTGTGGGTCTTTTATAGCTTTGGGGAGCTCATGGGTCGGGTTTGCGGTCGTGGCTGGGGACTTTGGACAGATGTGTGTGGCTGCAGACCCAGTGTGGGGAAGACTATTTGCAGACACAGAAGGGAAAAGACTGGTTGTTGAAGACCCAAGATGGGGGGCATTGGCTGCACATCCATGCAGGGTATACTTGGTTGCAGACTGAGAGTGGGAAAGGTTGGCTACAGAGTGAGCAAGGGTGGCAGTGGACACAAAAATGACAAGAAGTTGCTGGAGACCCTGATAAGCAAATAGCTTCAGAGACTTAGAATGAGCAAGACTTGCTGGAGACCATCAGGGGGCAAGGCTAGCTGGAGACTCTGAGTGAGTGAGAATGGTTGCCCACTCAGGCTAGGGGAGAGTGGCTGGGGACCCAAACTGGAAAAGAGTGGCTACAGAGCTGATGGGAAAAAGAATGGCTTCAGACATTGACCAGACAAGTGTGGCTGCAACAGACCCTAAATGGCTGAGAATGGCTGCAGACTCAGAGGGGACAAGAATGGCTGCAGACCACACCTGGATGAGAGTGGCTAGACACTGAGAGTGGGGGAGAATGGTTGGACACTGAGAGCATGTGGGAGTGGCTGGATACTGAGAGCAGGAGAAAGAGGCTGGAGACCAAGAGTGGAAGGAAGTGGTTGGAGACCAAGAGTGGAAGGAAGTGGCTGAAGACCCAGCATGGGAGGAACTGGTTGGAGAGCAAGAGTGGGAGGGAGTGCCTGGAGACTGAGAGTGGGAGGAAGTGCCTGGAGACCCAGCATGGGAGGGATTAGCTGGAGTCTGAGAATGGAAGGAAGTAGCTAGATACCCAGCATGGAAGTGACTGGCTGGATACCCAGAATAGGAGGGAGTGGCTGGTAACACAGAGTGGGAGGAAGTGGCTCAACACCCAGAGCAGGAGAGAGTAGCTGGAGACCCAGTGAGGAAGGGACTGGCTAGAGATGTGGTGTAGGAGGCAGTGGCTGATGACCCAGAGCAGGGGAAAGTGGTTGGAGACCCAGCAAGCAAGGGACTGGCTCAATATCCAGAGTGAGAGGGATTGGCTAAAGACCCAGCACAGAAGGGACTGGGTGGGAACCAGGAGTAGGAGGGAGTGACTGGAGACCTAGCACGGGAGGGATTGGCTAGAGACCGAGAATGTGAGGAAGTGAGTGGACACACAGTACAGAAGGGACTGGTTAGAGATCAAGAGTGGGAGGGAGTGGCTGGAGACCAAGAGCGGGAGGAAGTGGCTAGACACCCAGCATGGGAGAGACTGGCTAGAGACCAAGAGTGGGAGAGAGTGGCTGGAGACCAAGAGCGGGAGTGGGAGGAAGTCTTTAGAGACCCAGCATGGAAGGGATTGGCTGGATACCCAGCACAGGAGAGATTGGCTAGAGACTGAGAGTGGGAGGAAGTGGGTAGACACCTAGCACAGAAGAGACTGGCTGGAGACCTAGTACAGGAGGGACTGGCTGGAAACTGAGAGTGGGAGGAAGTGGCTGGACACCTAGCATGGAAGGGACTGGCTGGACATCCAGCATGGGGGGAAGTGACTGGAGATCCAAGGTGACATGAATTAGTGGGAACTGTGGGGCACAAAACACTGGCTACAGACTGAGAGTGGGAGGAAGTGGCTGGAGACCCAGCAAGGAAGGAATTAGCTCATCACCCCAAACAGGTGGAAGTGGCTAGAGACCCAGAATGGGAGGAAGTGGCTAGCAACACGGAGCAGGAGGGCGTGGCTGGAGACCCAGCAAGGAAGGGACTGGCTGGAGACCTAGCATGGCTGGGGCTGGCTGGAGACCAAGAGTGGGAGGAAGTGGCTGGAGACCCGGTGTCTTAATAACTGAGGGTCTTATATAAATGCGTGTAAAATGTAATGACACCACAATTACACTAGGATAAGACTTCTTGCCAGTCCTCGATTAACACAGTCTATGACTTTTCTTCTTTCATGGTAGATAATGTGTGAGTTCTTGGGAGGCTTGCTAAACCAATCTATGTGATTAACTTAGCCGGAGCTTTTGTGTTATATCCCAACTTATAAACTTGTCTAGGATAAACCATCTAGACACTGGAATGTGGTTCCTTGTTAAGATAATTCTCTGTAGAGACTACGGTCTCAAATATGAATATGTTGACCAAAGACTGGTTGGTCAAATAGGCACAAAGTGGTGAGAGACTGGTCTCACAAATGAACAGATTGACCAAAGCTCATGTTGGTCAATATCAGATAACTAGGTGAGAAGCTGGTCTCAAATAAACTAAGTTTCTATTGTAAGAAACTTATGTAATCTCAAGGGAATGTCTTTTCCCTGCACTTGGTACTTCAAAGGGGCTTTCTTTGTAAGCAACAATCTTCACAATGAGTAGCTCAAACTGAGATTCAAATGATTGCAAGTGGGAGATCCTATTTTTTGGGAGGGAGAATGGGCCCTCCTTATATACATTTTGTGTGGGAATATTATGTAAGTAAAAAAGCGGAGCAATGACATCAGAAGTGGAGCAGAACATTCCAGAACAAATGACATCATCATGACGTCATAACTTTCAACAGAATACTTGCAGGAGTATCTGTGGAGCCATATGACATCATTATGACATCATACCCCATAGGTACAATTTTGTGAAGTATCTGATGGGTCAGAGCATCCCAATAGAAAAATAAATCAAGGAAATACTAGAGAAAACAACTCAGAAATAATAATACAATAACAAGACACAAAACACAGGCTTTTTAGATAGGTTTTTGTTAGGCTTTGAACTTTTCTCTATGGTTTTCTCTAGCCAAAGTGAATAAGCCAAAGGCAAGGCAATACCTTAACCTTCTTGCTTCACAATATCAACTAGGTCATTGTGTGATTCCCATCTCACAAATGACTTTTCTTCAAGATATAATAAATTCATGAATCACAGAGGGGAAACTGAACTATATGACCAAGGTTTGAAACCAAGGTATGGGTTGACTAGCCTGATGCCTAAGCTCACAGACTTTGTCTTTTAGGGGGGCTACCTAGTAGTCATGTCCATGCATGATTCCCAAATCATGCAGGACACCGGCAAGGGTGGAAGTGGCTGGAGACTAAGAGTGGAAGTGGGAGGGAGTGGCTAGAGACCCAGTATGGAAGGAGATGGCTGGAGACACACAGTGGGAGGAAGTGGCTGGACACCCAGCACAAAAGCAACTGGCTGGAGGAACAAGGCGGGAGGCAGTGGTTGGAGACCCAGTGTGAGTGTGACTACCTGCAGGCCCTAAATCAACTGCAGACTCCAATGGGGCCTATGTGGCTGCACACCTTTCATGGGCAAGAGTGGCTGCTAACCCAGAGTGGGCGAGAGTGGTTACTGACCCAGAACACACAAAAGTGGCTCCTGACCTCAGGAGGGCAACAATGGCTCCATACTCTAGGTGGAGAGTGGCTGCAGACCCCAGAAGGGCTGCAGACTGAATGTGGCTGAGAATGGCTGCAGACAAAGAGCAGGCAAGAGTGGCTGCCAACCCAGGGTGGGCAAGAGTGGACAAGGGTGGCTTAAGACATCCCATGGACAAGCATGGCAGTTGACCCCTGTGGCATCTGTCTGGGTGACAATAGAAGACTTCTTGAACATGTTGGAAACAATCAACAAGTGTGCAATTATCCCAGAATTGCATTTGCTGCCAGCTTTTCAAGCAATCCAGGAGTTCAAGAGCTTACCAGATTTCCTGATGTTTCCAGTGTTCCTGGTGTTGAAACCCCAGGCCCATTCTACCTCTGCATTCCCACAATATCAGCTTCTACCAGACATGGAGGTAATCCATGCTATGGCCATGTTCATGATTTTCGCAAACAACATCACAAAAATTGCATAAGCGTGACATTGCCATATATAGGTATGTCTGCGCTGTCTGCGCTGTCAGCAATGTCAGGGTTAAGGTTAAGTATGTCTGAGCAGACTTGGAACCTGAAAAGTCCAATGGACGGGCCGAGTACAACGTATTCAGGGTAAATAGATTGATATCTCAATTTGATAATTCAGACATTGTAAATCACACAGAGATAGCAAGATAAAGCCTGATATTGAGTATCATTAAGAGAATACAGGTTATTCTAAAGGAATGCAATGTAAGGAAACTGGTATACTAGCAGGACATGTCTGAATGAGAGAATGACTGAGAGAATATGGAAAGCAATATCAGAAACAACAGAAGCACGACAGTGAAAGTCCCAGTGCAAGAATAATGGCCAATGATGCAATGATGAGGCAAAGTCCGATTTGATAGACACGATCGAGTCCAGAATGATAGTAAGAGTCTTCTTCCATGATCCGAAGGAAGCTCCTAGACCGGAAATGAAAAATCGATCATGGAACATATGAGTGACATCATAAGCATAAGACAAAATGAGCACATACTGACTTTTACTTCCTGCGGTGCGACACACGTTTGGCCCAGGGTCGACCTTTGGTTGGCTTGGCCAGTTCCTCATCCTCGTTGTCGGATTCCTGTATAATGCAGTGCGTAGTCCTACCCCGGGCCCGGCCATTTGGCATTTTCTTCTTCCCCTTTTTGATGGCGCTGACATCATCCAAGTCGTCGTTGTTTGACAGGTCATCGTTTGGTGTCAGTTCACTGCCTGCAGGCGACTTTGGCGGGACGGGGGCCTTCTGCAAGGGTACGGGTCCGGGAGTGGGCACGGGAGTGGGTGTGGGAACACATCCAGGAGTGAGAACGGGTCCGGGAGTGGCAGAACTTTGAGGTGGAGTTGGGATCAGGTTAGGATCTGGTGTTACAGGTCGTCTGGCAGCATTAGTGTGGTTGGCCATTTGCGCTCGCATCTTGGCAAGACCGTTGACTGGACCTGAAGATGACCTGGACATGTTGTCGTCGGTTATGGCTGTTCCGCCCTCACGTCCATTATCGTTCTTGAATAACGCCCTTGATAGAAGTAGATAGTTAGCTAAATTAACGGAACAGAGAAAAACTTACTTGTTCCACCATTTAAGAAGTCCCTGCGCCCAATCTCGATCCTCGCACTCATGAATAAAGTCGATAATGTTGTAGTAAAAGGCCCAGTAATTGAATTCACCGTCGGCTTCGGCCCATTTGTTTTTATTACTGATTGCGAAGCGTGCCTATGTTAAAACAATTAGTTAGATATAATCCATTAAATAAACAAAAACTTACCTGAACACAAGCGTATGCTATATGTTCCGCCTCAACAGTAGACATATCGTGCAGGGATGCATTGCATGATCGCGTAGCGCGCGAGTCGTCACCTAAAGCAGTGGAAGGACCTGTAAAAATATGACGCATTATCTGGTAAATCAAAATGTTAATAAGATAGACACATATAATGAATTTCAAAACTTACACGCTCGAGGAAATAACCCTGGAATAGGCCCTCATTCATGATGTCCTCATCGTACCTACTTCCAGGAGGCTTTCCGGCCCACAGGAACACCGGAAAGTCGATCGCGGTCATATGAATCCATCCGATCTCCATCCATTTCCGGGCCCTATGTTAGAGAACATTAGATGATCGGAAATGACAAATCGAGTACTTACAGAATGGGATCTCATTTGAAATCTGCGAGTGCGGAAATAGGACATAGGAAAGAAGCAAGCACAGGGTGGTTGATGCCCATGTGTGCCCTGGACAGTGAGCCCCCATTGTAGATGGTAGGCTTCAGACCTTCCTTCAAAGGTTCGGGCACCGCGTAGTGTCCGATTTGGACCTTCAAACGAGTTGCGTTGTCGGAACGTGTCCCACTAATGACAGCATTCATCTAATTAGTATGTTAGTACACGATATATGCACATATAAACAGCATATACTCACCTTGCGTGCGATCTGAGTGAGATCCTTGGACTTCGGGCGATCAGTAATAAGTGATCGGAGTCCCAGAGCCAGTTGAAGCAACTGCTGATAGTTGCACTTGTACCGATCGAGGGTATTGGTTGAACTAAGAAAAAAATCTTAGTATAGACTTTGCAAAATTAAAAAAATGGACTTACAGACTCGCAAGCCTTTTCTGACGGGATTCGCGCTCGGCCTCTGACTCTTCTAATTCTCCATTCTCCGCGGCCTGCTCTTGCTGTAGGAGTAGACCTACCCTTAAGAGTTTCTCAACGTTGCAGAATAAATCGACACAACGTGCCATGGCACGTGCTGCCGCAAGAAACTCTTCTTGGACTTCGAATTCTGAGTCCTCCTTCTCTTTCGAGATCTTGGTTTTCCTGGTCATAGATTATATTAGGGTTCTCGGCGCAAATGAATTTGAATATTGGACTTACTTGACCTTTCGATTGTCTTTATCAGGTTTGCGCCCGCGTCTTTTAGATGACTTCTTAGGGCGAGGTTCTATGCGCTCCATCGAGGAAATTGAAGAGTCACTGCTGGTGTCGCTCTCTGAAGCTGAGGGGGATCTGGAACGACGTTTGTGCGGCATGCTTAAGATGTGATGCAGTGATATCAGTAGAAGTGTGTGATCAGAATCTGATCAACAAAGGCAAATTTCAATCTCCGAAATCACGTGACCACCTTGTATCCACCCAACCTCTAAGTCGAAGTTATCTCTTCTTCATATCCGAGTCCACGATCATGATCATGCACTGCCAACCACTCTATATGGCACCAGAAGCACTGATTGCTTCATCAGAAGCACTGATGGCTTCATCCAGACTGGTATAGGTGCGTCTATAATTGCTTGAGGATGTTAACATACCATCCAGGTGCTGATAGCAGGGCCACGCGCGATGGTGCAGGCAAGGACTTAGGCAAGGAGTTGTGTTGATTTAGAGAAGAGTTGCGGGAAATAGGGTCACTACTACCTATAACCGCTAAGTCCTTGAATTTGTTATTAAGTATGATGCAATATATAATCTAAAGTTTGTATTCATGTTGGATCTGAGTGTGCATCCCATGGACGGCCTCACCTGCCTCGGGTGTTCAAAGGCTTTCACCACTCAGAAAGGCCTGAGCAATCATGAGGCTCGGTGTGATGCCAGTAAGAGTCTTGATGCTGATGTCTATAAACAGCAGTGCCGTCTGGAGAAGCAAATGCGCCGGAAGAAGAAAAGAAGACGTGTCATGGCTCCCGACGCATCTTCCTCACCAGAAGGCGGAGAAACGAGCCGCAATGCTCATCGAATAAGTCCTGAAGACCGGATGGATATCAACAATGATCATTGGGTCGATCATGATCACATGCACGAGGTAAGTCATTTTTTATTGAAATGATCGATATGTCTAATTTTACAACTAATAGGATGAAAATACTGCTGGAGCTTCTACTGACGCCGGCACACCAATCCCACCAATCCCTGACGATCCCGCCATCATTTCTGCTCGTTCTGGCTGACGAATCCGCATGCCTGCTCGTTATGCAGACTATCTGCCAGCTGGACCCACCAATCTCCCACATTTACCTCCTCCTCCTCCTCCAGATAGTCCTCCCAACCAACTCATCAATGAACTCCTCAACCACCAGCCCATACTCATCCCTTACCAGACTCCCCTGGATTCACTGGGTCTTTTCCGCATCTATGCACAAAAACCCACCCTCATACCCACCGCAAATGAAGGCCTGGATGCGATCGCTGATGCCCCAACCTTCGAAACTTGGGGCAATTCTCAATTGTCGCAATCTCAGATCGTTCCCAGGCTTCCCTCCCAAGAAATCCGACCGGAGGATATATTCTCCCCATTTAGCAGCCCAACCGCAGGGCTTCTGATGTGTTGGCAATATTCCGGCGCAAACTCAAAGTCGAGCGCCGAAATGAAACGCCTCACTAGGGAGTTTCTCGATCATGATCAATACAACAGAGAAGACATGCGGATTTTCGACAATGTGCGGGAGAAAAGGCTCATGAAGGAGTACCTCAAGGACCAATCCAATCCATTTCGTGTGGAAAATGGCTGGCACAGCTCTTCAGTAAAAATCCGCCTCCCCAAAGAAAAGGTTAAGTTCGCATCAGAAGAAGATGCACCAGAGTTGGAGATTACTGGCATTCATCACCGCTCTCTCACTGACATCATTACATCCGTCTTCGAGGACACTATTATGTCCACCTTTCATCTAACACCCTTCCATCAGCAATGGAAGACTTCTGATGATCGCACCATCAAAGTCTATAGCGAGGCATATTCCTCACCGGCCTTTCTAGAAGCCCACACGGAAATTAATGCGCTTCCCCAAGATCCAGGCGATAACCTTGAGCGAGTCGTCGCCTCACTAATGATGTGGTCTGACAGCACTCACCTGGCAAGTTTCGGTGATGCATCGCTCTGGCCCTTCTATCTGTGCTTTGGCAATCAGTCCAAGTACACACGAGGCAAGCCAACAGCATCTGCATGCCATCATGTTGCATATATTCCAAACGTATGTTCCATTTCATTTGCGTTCTATTAATTTGATTATGCTAATTTTGATCTATTAAGCTTCCTGATGACTTCCAAGACCGTTACAGCCGTCTTTTTGATGAGGCATCATCCAGTGACGTCTATACTCACTGTAAACGCGAACTTATGCAAGCCATATGGGCACTTCTACTGGATGAAAAATTTATGGATGCCTACAAAAATGGCATCATCATTCGATGCGGGGATGGGATCACTCGACGCATTTTCCCCCGCTTCTTTACTTACTCAGCAGACTATCCAGAAAAGTACGTGTTTTAATCTTAATTTTAATGATCATTTCTCATTTGATATTTATTAATACAGGATTCTGCTGGCTTGCATCAAGTTCCTTGGCGAATGCCCTTGCCCCCGCTGCCTGATCAAGAAAGAAGACGTCCCCAAGATGGGCATGAAGATTGATCTGGAGAACCGCCAGGCAATGCAGCGTGTTGATGATGAACGACGTCATCGCAAAGTTGAAAAAGCCTGCAGGCTTATGTTTCAGCACGGCGTTGGCATCAATGGACAACGGATCAAGAAGATCCTGCAAGGCGAGTCGCTAGTTCCAACTCGGGTAAATAATCTGCGCATCAATCTTAGATTTATATCTGATCACTTCATTTCAGAACGCATTTTCAACACGGTTTCTCAAATATATGTTCAATTTTTTCTTGATGTTCGTAGTAGACTTACTTCATGAGTTCGAGCTCGGTGTGTGGAAAGCAATTTTCACACACTTAATGCGCATTCTATTTGCCGCAGGTGGTTCAGCAGTTCAAGAGCTTAATTTCAGGTATGTTATAGTGCTTTTTGCAATATTACAACGCTTATATGACTACATACAGGTACCGTCAAGTTCCTACTTTTGGTAGGGGAACAATCAGACAGTTCCACAAGAATGCTTCTGCAATGAAGCGTCTCGCAGCCCGCGACTTCGAGGATCTACTACAGGTAAGATTGATCCCATCAGAATTTAATGATGCACTGATGTGCCTTTCATTTCTAGTGCGCTATACCCGTATTCGAAGGACTTCTTCCCCCCGATCATAATACGATCATTCTCGACCTCCTCTTTGACCTGGCTACCTGGCATGCTTATGCAAAACTCCGCATACATACGGACGACACTCTTGCATTTTTTGACTCAGTGACAGTCATCCTTGGTCAATCGGTTCGCAAGTTTCAGCGCACCACTTGTGCGTATTATCACACTACAGAACTTCCCCACGAATATGCCGCTCGTGGACACCGTCTGTCTGCATTAGCCCCAAAACAAGTGGGATCAGCAAACACGTTGCAGATTGGCAAGGCTACATCAAACCCAAAGGTAAAGACATTAAATCTTTATACTTACAAATATCACGCACTTGCCGACTACCCTAATACTATCCGGTGTGTTGGTACTACTGATAGTTATTCCACACAACCGGTAAGTGTTCTTTTCATGATATCATTCATTTAATAACTAATATCCAACAGGGAGAACTCGAGCATCGTCGATCGAAGCGTCGGTACCCTCGAACAGGAAAGAAGAAGGATCAAACTCTCACCAGCATGACTTCTCAAGAAGCACAAGAACACCTCATTGAGAAGGTGATCGCTGCACTTGCAGCACAGCGGAATCCGAGACCACGGCGCACGCGATTGTCTCCATCCGATCACTACTCCATTGCCAAATATGCTCGGGCAAACGATGACATCACCTCCTGGTTAATTGAGCGCAGAGAGGTTGGAGACTTGTCCGATCTGGCTATTGAGGTAAGCTTTTATTAGATTTTCATTTTCATGCTTTCATTAATTTTATCAGGAGTTCATTCCGCGACTCAAGGACCATGTTCTTGCTCGGCTTCGCAATATCACATATGACGGAGATGAGCATGACTTCTCCGACGCCGATCGTACCTCAGTGCTGTTTACTGACAACAAAATATACCACCACAGCATTTTACGCATCAACTATACGACATACGATCTACGACGCGAACAGGACACCATCAATCCCCGCACTCGTGCTGACATAATGGTACTCTCCCATGAAGACGAGAAGACTCACCCATACTGGTATGCCCGTGTCATCGGCATCTTTCATATCAATGTGGAATACCGTGAGGACAACATGAGGATGTATTCTGAACCAATTCGGATGGACTTCCTGTTCGTCCGATGGTTCAGAAGGGATAGTTCACCTGCAGGTTGGACTGCATAACGACTCCAGCGCCTCGAATTTTTCGATCAAGACAGCCCTGACGCATACGGATTTTTGGATCCAGACTCTGTCATTCGCGGGATTCATTTAATTCCAAGCTTTCACCATCGCACAGATCCTCAAGATCTTGAGTCTGAATGCCGATTTCACTATGTTAA